CCTGTAATTCCCCTTGGTTTGGGGGGCTTCTTATGTTTCTGATTGAGGCAAGGATGGAAACTAGTATCAATTAAGTGCCAACTATTTATTGTAGTTTGAGAGCTTTACGTGTACTAACTAGATAGATGAGATAAGAAAGATACTCTTCACATCTCTATTAGGTAGCTGACAATTCCATTTTAGTGAGAAAATGTATCAATTTAGTCACTTTCCAAAGGTCATACCTGTAGTAAATAACATGGGCTTTGAATCTAGTATTTCTGAAACTGTAGTCCTTTTTCTACTTTATTTACAACTTTATCAGTCTTTATGTGTGAAAAATTTCAAATGTGAAAGAGAGAGGTACATAACACTGAGTGAACCCTAATGTAAACTGTGGAGTTGGGGTGATTATGATGTGTTGATATAAGTTAATCAATTATAGTAAATACACAGCTCTGAATGTTGATCGTGTGGGAGGCTGTGCATGTGGAGGGTAAGAGGCATGTGGGAAATCTCTATACCTTCCTCTGAATTTTGCTGTGAACCTACAACTGCTCTAAAAAAAAAAATTAAGCCTCATTATGTTGGCCAGACTAGTCTCAAATGCCTCACCTCAGATTATCCTCCAGGCTCGCCTCCCATAGTGCTAGGATTGTAAGCATGAGCCACTGTTCCCTACTGGTCATCACACTTTCTCAGAGGTGCTTTCACTGCTTACCCCATCTAACAGTGTCATCGTCTATCCTGAACCTTGCTCACTTCCCTCATGAGGGAAATGTTTCTAAATATTTGTTTGTTTACTTGTTTGTGGTCCAGATATCCCAGTAGGCTCCAGCTTCATAAGAGCAAATACCATGTCTCACTTGTTCACCTAGTGCTGGAATGTACTAGAAAAGTCAGTAAATATATTCATTTTAGTGTTGTTTTTTTTAAGACAGGGTCTTACTCCCATCACCCAGGCTGGAGTGCAGTGGCTGGATCAGCCTTGACTTCCCAGGCTCAGGTGATTCTCCCACCTCAGCCTCCCAAGTAGCTGGAGCCACAGGCATGCGTCAGCACACCTGACTAGTTTCTTGTATTTTTAATAGAGACAGGGTTTCCACCTTGTTGCCCAGACTAGCCTTGATCTCTTGGGCTTAAGCAATCCCCCTGCCTCGGCCTCCCAAAGTGCTGGAATTATAGGTGTGCACAACCATGCCTGGCCAATAGGTATATTCTTAATGGGGGAACAAAAGTAGGACAAGAATTGTCTTATCCCCACCATGTAATTATCAGCCATTTTTCAGCATTTTGCCAATCTTTTGTTTCATATATTCTACCAGTTTTTAACCTGTAAATATTCTTCCATATTCATAGCTGATGCATAAAAAGACATTTAAAAAATTGCAGTGCCATTGTTATACCTAACAAAATTAGTAATCTCTTAATGTAATCTTTTTTTTTTTTTTTTTTTATTGCTCTGTTGCCCAGGCTGGAGTGCAGTGGCACGGTCTCAGCTCAGAGCAGCCGCCATCTCCCAGATTCAAATGATTTCTTTAAGTCTCAGCCTCCTGAATAGCTTGGATTACAGGCACACACCACCACACCTGGCTAATTTTTGTATTTTTAATAGAGACGAAGCTTTACCATGTTGGCCAGGCTGGTCTGGAACTCCTGATCTCAAGTTATCCACTCGCCTCGGCCTCCCAAAGTGTAGGGATTACAGGCGGTGAGTCACTGAGCCCGGCCACTTAATATAATCTGAAACTGTGTTCACATTTGGATTTTTCTGGTTGCCTCAAAAAATACATTTTCACATTTGGTATGTTCAGACAGTATCCAGATAGGGCCAACACATAGTATTGGGTTATGTCTTTTAAGTCTCTTAAAAAGTCTGTAATGGTCTCCTCTCCTTTTTCTATGCCATTTTTATGTTGTAAAAACTAGATTCTTTATCCTGTAGAATGTCCCACATTCTAGATTTGGCTGATAGCTTCTTTGGGGTTTCATTTTACTTTACTACTATCCCCGTTATTTCCTGTTAACTGGAAGTTAGAGCTAGAGGTTTAATTAGATTCAGGTTTATTTATATATGTAATTTTGCAAGAACATGTCCTGGTTAGTACATGTAGTTTTTTGTTTCATCAGGAGGCAGATATCTCTAATATCTTACTTTTGGTGATGCTGAGTATGAGTGTTACCAGCTTGCAAGTTTCCCACCCACAAAATCCTAATGATTTTAGCACCCATTTGTGATCCTTATCTAGATTCATTATTTCATTAGGTGTTGCACATTAGTGATCTTTCAAATTACATCATTTCTTCCACATTTACTAGCTGTGATTCTTATATAATAAAGTACTTTCTCTATTTGGTTACCTGAAATAAGGAAATATAATTATTAACTATTGGTTTTCCTCCTTGTCAGTTTTCAGAGTAATGAGTTGATGCCTTAGCAACTTTCACTGGTGATCAATGAAAGGTTTTTTAAGAGTCATTGTGAACTAAGAGCTATTTATATATTTGATGGATTTTGGTAAATTATAGTTATTCTTCATTCTGATGCTCAAATTGACCCATTAGTATCCCCATTAGTCTTTGATAACCTCTTTGGTTTCAGACACAAGGTGTCTCAGGCTCATTTTGTACATACCCTTCTCCAGACTACAATCAGCCGTTTCTCTGAAAAACTGTTTTGTTGTGTGTGTTTAGGAAATAGTATTTAGAAACAACAAACAGTTGTTAAGGGTTTGTTACTGTTGGGTTGTTATTCTACGCATTTCCAGTAACAGAGCTAGGAAAAATACCTATTTTTCAGGAAGAGAAAAATAAACCATGATTTCCTATCCGTGTTTGCAATTGAAATGTAAAGACTTTTTTTTTTTTTCTTTAACTTGGCTACTGTGATTTTTTTTCCCCAGGTTTAAAAAATAAGCTTTATTTAAAAAAATTTAACGTGCATTGTTGGAAACTGAAACAAGGAATGAGGAACAAAGTCATCCGCAATCATAAGCAGTTTGACATGCCCTTTCTAGGTCTTATGTGTATATACATAACATCCAATTTTATGATTGAGATCATACAGTATGTATCGTGCTTTTTCACATATCATGAACCTTTACCAGTTCAGAACCCCAAAGCTACTTTCTGCTCTTCAGCTGTCAACCTACTGAATGAGTCCTGATATATGCTATCTAGGTGGTTTAACAGTTCCATGTTCAAGATGCTTCTTTTCTATCAATTATAGCAAGATATTTACAAATTGGCTAACTCACTAGCTCTGCTTTTTATCATACATTGTTACCTCAGGACATCTATAAAGTATAGATGATAGATGTTGCAAAATAAAGAATGAACTTTGTCCTCAATAAACAGATGCTTTAACAAAAATGCACTTAGAGACCTGTGGTTAAAATCTAAAACCTGTCCTCTGGGTATGGAGACATTAGCAGAGAACCTCACCCTTCACTCTTTCCCTCTTCTATCCTGTCAGTGACTAAGCACTTACATCTAGCTCTAAGAGGTAGGTTAACAATACCACTCCCAGAAGACAGGCCTTCCTGAAAACAAACAAAAGCATGTTTAAAAACGGATTTTTTACTGCCTCTACTTTTGACATACTTTGAGCATTAGGGCATGTTTATCCGTTAAACAGAGCAGTATTAACTAAATTACACATATAGAACAATGGTTAAACCAGTCTGAACTAATGTAACTCACAGGCACTGAAGTCCTCTCTGCCTACTTCTCCTCGCCACCCCCCCCTCCACCCCACCCAGTGAACACTTAGCATATTCTCCAAGACTTCAGCTTTAACAATTCCATTCCCAAACTGCAAACACTCTTGTGAAATAACAACAACAAAAAAACTACTTAGTGTTACTTTAGCTCTCATTAGCTACTTTGATTTTATACTTCTATACTCTTAAAACCACAGTAACAAAAAGTACTTATTTGCTTGCTGCTTATTACACAAATCACAATCTCATAATAGCACCACTAATGACTGAATATACTTTTCTTTCTTTGAGATTCTTTTTGTACTTAGTACCAATAATGTAGTCCCAATAAAGAGGTACAGTTGAAATACTGTGTGAGATAGCTTTTCAGTTTATCCTATCGTTGCTTTTTATTAAAATATACATGCTAATGTGTTTTAAAAATTATGTGTCATAATATACATTAGGTGGTCTTATGTTTGATTATTTTAAATTGATACATTATTGATATATTTTTAAACTCCCTTTCTTACAGGGAAGTTAGTGTATTATAAATACTGTTCTGCCTTGCTTTTTCTCTTACATTCTGGAGCTCACTCTTTATCAGCATGTAACTCTTCATTCCTTTAAACAGTTGCATGGTTAGCCATTGTGTGGATTACGCTGATTTATTCAACTAACCCCATATTAATTCAGCCTTCTCTTTAAATCCTAAGTAAACACTTTTGTGTGGCACAACCTGGTGTGAGAATTAAATATGACTGAAGATTTTAAAATATTGAAATCACTTTCTCAATTGTGTCCTTAAAGTAATTAATGAATCAGTTTTTGTGAAATGAATTTTACTTACCCAAGCATTCCAATTCACTTTTAAACTTTGATCATTTTTTATGGAAGTATTTTAAATTTATTAGAGACTTTTATACAGTTTAATCATTTTCTTTTTGCCATACTAGAGGATGTCTACATTATTGAATTGAATTCTGATATTCTGTGCCCTTTAGTTTTTCAGCGAATTCCTCGAATGTCAAGTATTTTTCATGGTTGCAGTATGATATTCCTAAATTAATGCAACTCTTGTGTGAAGGTTTCTCTCTCTGCTTTTTCCAGGGCTTTGAGCTTATGTATAGGAAAGTCAGTTACAAAATACCTGATGTTAACGTGAATGGTGTCATCCTCTAGTTTGTTAGACTAGAAATGAATAGTTGAAGTTGAGAAAACAGTGCATCTTCGTCTTTATCTGACTTTTTACAATGGCATGTTTTTATAATATATAGGTGTGACTGCTTGCTTGTTAATAGTAATATTTTCTTGAATCAGATGCTCTGCCTTACTCAATACGGGTTCTGTTGGAAGCTGCTGTACGAAATTGTGATGGCTTTTTCATGAAAAAGGAAGATGTTGTGAACATTTTAGACTGGAAAACCAAACAAAGCAATGTTGAAGTGCCCTTTTTCCCTGCCCGTGTTCTTCTTCAAGATTTTACGTGAGTAATGGGTTTATTTTTTGTGAATAAATTCTCGGAGTGTGTTTCCTTTTTAAAATTCAGACTCCTTGGCTAGGGGTAGTTGTTCACACCTGTAATCTCAGCACTTTGGAAGGCCAAGGCAGGAAGATCACTTGATCCCAGGGGTTTGCAATCAGTCTGGGCAACATAGTGAGACCCTGTATATACAAAAAAATAATAATAATAAAATAAATTAGCCAAATATGGTGGTGCATGCCTGTAGTCCCAGCTACTCTGGAGGCTGAGGTGGGAAGATCACTTGAGCGCAGTAAGTTGAGGCAGCAGTGAGCTGTGGTCACACCACTGCACTCCAGCCTGGGGTGACAGTGCAAGACCCTGTCTCTAAAAATAAAAAATGAGAATTCAGACTCCCTCTTGGAGAGCTCTGTTTTTAAATTTTAAGGTTAATTTATAAACTTAAATTTTGCCCTTTCCAAACTGAAGCAATTCATTAAAAATTAGATACCTGTTTTGGCTGGGCGTGGTGGCTCACCCCTGTAATCCAAGCACTTTGGAGGCCAAGGTGGGTGGATCACCTGAGGTCGGGAGTTCAAGACTAGCCTGACCAACATGGTGAAACCCCTGTCTTTAAAAATAAAAAAAATAAAAAAAAATAAAATAAAATAAAAATTAGATACCGGTTTTATATATCATTTATTCAAAAACTGCTTTTGCATAACTACCTTCTTATGATCTCTACATAACCAAGAAGTTTCTCAAACTTAACATATTGGAAACTTGATTTTGTTTTGAGGTAGAGTCTCACTCTGTCACCTCAGCCAGAGTGAACTGATGCCGTGGTAGTTCACTGCAGCCTCAACCTCCTGGGCTCAAGCGATCCTCCTGCCTCTGCCTCCCAAAGCTCTGGGATTACAGGCGTGAGCCACCCTGCCCAGCCATAAAAACTGGACTTTTTGATTGTCTATCTCAACTCACCTATTTCTTTCTAAGTCTTTTTTGTCGTAGTAAATAGCACCATACACTCCCATTTGTTTAAGCTTCAAACCTAGGAGTTAGCCTTGATTTTTCTCTTTCTTTAGTACTCTCCAAGCAGTCTATCAGCAAGCTCTGTCAGTGCTACCTTTAACATATATCTCATGTCCGATTATGACACAATCGTAGTTCACTGCAGCATCGACCTCCTGGGCTCAAGCTGCTATTGTATGCAGCTATTATAGTATTTAGGATACTATTCTGTAATCATTACTTTATCTTCTCTAAAAATTTTCTGAGAACCAGAACTATGTCTTACTTGGCCTTGTACCATTGGTGTCTAGCACATTGAAGGCATTTGATAAATGCTTGTTATACAGTTGGCTGGATAGATGGGTGGATGAATGTAAAATGACAAAAGCTACTATGGATAGTTTGGGGGGAACACGAAGGCACTAGGGGAAAGGGGCTGGAACTGGGGAAAGGGGAGGGTGCATCAAAAAAATACAAGGCAGAAGAGAGTTCCACAGACACTTTCCTTGAAGTTCACTTATGCCTTCAAAAATTATCTCTTACTATTTTTGGCACATTTGCCCAAGTAATTCAGTTCTCAGATAATGTTTAATATTAATTATCATTAAACTAGGATACTCCTAACTTTAGATAATAAGTACATTATGAAAAATGAATGTAAACTAGACAGATATACTTTTTAAATATGAAAATGAAAAAGTACTTTTTTTTTAAGTATGTATAAAAAACAATTCGAATTATAATTTGACCATTCCTTATTTTTTAGTGGAATACCGGCAATGGTGGATTTTGCTGCTATGAGGGAGGCAGTGAAAACTCTTGGAGGTGATCCTAAGAAAGTCCATCCTGCTTGTCCAACAGATCTGACAGTTGACCATTCTTTACAAATTGACTTCAGTAAATGGTACTGCAATACAGATGTTTATAGACAGCCATGCAAGTTGATTGGCTGAAAATGTGTCATGTGAAGGAAAAGGATTAGAGATGATTTATGGCAGAGAAAAGTATGCAAAATTTGGTATTAGCCAGTATATAAAAGGGACAACCGGTAAAAGGTTTATGGAATGGTGGCTTGTTTTATATTTAGTCTGAGTTTAAAGTTATTTTCATATTTGTGTATTTCTGCTGCCATTTTTGATAGAAATGTATAAGCTTAGAACTTGCCTTTTGGAGTGAACCTCTGAATTCAGGCTTTGTTTCCTCTTTGTTTTTTAACCTACTTGTCTTTCAGAAAGAATCCAAAGATGTGAGCCATGAATGTTTTTAATTATTTGGTGATTAAAAACATTGAACTCACTAAAGCTCTATTTTCCTTCCACTGAAATAAGTTTCCTGTATTTATAAGGCCCCTTTGACCAAGGGCAAACTAGAGAAGACATATTTCTGTTGCCATAAATTAACTTTTTAAAAACATTCCCTACATTAGCAGAATAAGACTGCAATTTTTTATAGCCCATGAGAGAGATTTTGCCCTCTAGGTAAACTGTAGCTCTAAATTTCTTTTACGTTGTTAGGGGGAAAAAAGTCTATTTCAGTACTTGCTAAAAGTTATTTAAATTGGTAGAGTGTATGAAAGTGATTTTGTTGGACGCTTAGAATTAGGTTTTCATTTCTTACCTGTTTCTCTTTTTTTCATAATCTGAGATTTGCCTTTGAAACCTGAGTCAAATGATATATTAGCATTCAAACATCATTTACTTCCATATAGCATTCCTAGTGTGTATTTTAAGTGTGCATTTTTAAAAATTCCTGTCACTTTTAAATGGCTTTATTTTGTTTTCTTTTTGGAATGACAGTGCAATACAGAATGCGCCAAACCCTGGAGGTGGTGACCTGCAAAAAGCAGGAAAGCTCTCTCCACTTAAAGTGCAGCCTAAGAAGCTTCCCTGCAGAGGCCAGACTACCTGCCGAGGATCTTGTGACTCTGGAGAACTAGGCCGAAACTCAGGAACATTTCCTTCACAGATTGAGAATACACCCATCCTGTGTCCTTTTCATTTGCAACCAGTGCCTGAGTATGAGATTGTTTTTCTTAATGTTTATTAATATCAGGTTATTTTGCAGTTAAGAAAATCATACATTCTCCTTCCCACTCAATTACTATTATGTTACCTTCACACTATGTACTAGAATTGAATTTATTTTTATATGTATTTCCTGTTATTCTAAAAGAAGTAAATTTAGTGAACATGATGATCTCCAAGTACCATTCTCTCCATTACTAACAAAGCAAACCTTAAGATTTATCTGTAAATATAATTCATCTTTTTGACGATTATAAGCAGAAAAATGGGGTCTCATTTTAAACTAAAATTTTCATTTTAGTACATTTGTACCATTCATTAATACTAATGACTAATACTCATTAGTCATTCATACTTCTTATGTTAATTCTGTGTTCATAGTTTTAGCATTTTTTTTTTCCCCCCTACTAGGGGTTACTTATCTTGTCTTATTGCATTAAGAGTGCTATTTTGGCTAGGCGAAGTGGCTCACACCTGTAATCCTAGCACTTTGGGAGGCCAGAGCAGGTGGATCACTTGAGCTTACGAGTTTGAGACCAGCCTGGGCAACATGGCGAAACCCCATCTCTACAAAAATGTACCCAGGTGTGATGTCACGCACCTGTGGTCCCAGCTGCTCAGGAGGCTGAGGCAGGAGAATCTCTTGAACCCAGGAGATGGAGGGTTGCAGTGAGCTGAGATCACGCCACTGCACTTCAGCCTGGGCGTGACAGAGTGAGACTCTTGAGAAAAGAGTTCTGTTCCTAGGATTTGGCTAAATTTCCTACTAGGTAAATTTTTTTTTTTTTTTTTGAGACAGAGTTTCACTGTTGTTACCCAGGCTGGAGTGCAATGGAACGATCTTAGCTCACCGCAACCTCCGCCTCCTGGGTTCAAGCGATTCTCCTGCCTCAGCCTCCCGAGTAGCTGGGACTACGGGCGCGCACCACCATGCCCAGCTAATTTTTGTATTTTTAGCAGAGATAGGGTTTCACCATGTTGACCAGGATGGTCTCGATCTCTTGACCTCGTGATCCACTCGCCTCGGCCTCCCAAAGTGCTGGGATTATAGGCATGAACCACCGCGCCCGGCCTCTAGGTACATTTTTTAAAATAAAAAGAGTTCTATGGCCAGGTGCAGTGACACATTCCTGTAATTCCAGAACTTTTGGAGGCTGAGGCAGGCGGATCACCTGAGGTCAGTAGTTCCAGACCAGCCTGGCAAACATGACGAAACCACATCTCTACTAAAAACACAAAATTAGCCAGGCATGCTGGTAGGGACCTGTAATCTCAGATACTGTGGAGGGTGAGGCATGAGAATCGCTTCTACCAGGAGGCAGATATCATAGTGAGCTGAGATCACATACACCGTACTGCATCCTGGGTGACAGAGCAAGACTGTTTCAGAAAAAAGAAAGAAAAGGAAAGAGTTCTATGGCTTCTTGAAAAATATGCTCTAAAGTTTCCAAAGTCATTTATCTATCTATCTATTTATTTATTTATTTTGAGAGACAGGGTCTTACTATGTTGCCCATGCTGGTCTCAAACTCTTGGGCTCAAGTCGTCTGCCTGCCTTGGCCTTCCAAAGTGGGGTTTGGTTCGGTTTGGTTTGGTTTTGAGACAGTCTCATTCTATTGCCTGGGCTGGGGTGCAATGGCATGATCATAGCTCACCACAATCTTGACCTCTCCTGGACTTAGGTAATCCTCCCGCCTCAGCTTCCCAAGTAGCTGGAACTTCAGGCATGCCTTACCATGCCTGGCTAATTTTTTGTGTAGACAAGTGGTATCACTATGTTGCCCAGACTGGTCTCAAACTCCTGGCCTCAAGTGATACTTCTGCCTTGACTGTCCAAAGTGCTGGGATTATAGGCATGAGCCACTGTGCCCAGCCATATATATATATATATATATTTTTTTTTTTTTTTTTGACATAGGGGTCTCTCTTTGTCATCTAGGCTGGGGGTGCAGTGGCACCATCTATAGCTCACTGCAGCCTCCACCTCCTGGGCTTAAACGATCCTCCTGCCTTAGCCTCCAGAGTAGTTGGGAACTTCAGGCACACACTACCATGTCTGACTAATTTTATCTTCCTTTTTTGGGGGTAGAGATGGGATCTCACTATGCTGCTTAGGCTGGTCTTAAACAGACCTCATGTAATCCTCCCACTTTGGCCTCCCAAAGTGCTGGGACTGCAAGCATGAGGCACTCCACGTGGTCCTTTTAAAAATTTATTTAGTAAAAAATTACTTATACTTTAGTTTTTAAAAAGTTTAACACATTAAAGATGTAGAGTTGCTAAGAGTAATGGCCATTTATTTATCCTAAGTACCAAGTAATATGTTAATTCCTTTGTACCTGACTGGATCTTTCAAGATCTGCCTACTTCTAAAATTTTGGGCTTAATATTTTTAGAAGGCCACAGATTATAGTGACCTTGTGTGCTCTTTCTAAGGATTCAGTATAATCTGTGAGTCTTTTGCCATCAAATTTTGGCAGTTTATGTAATTGTTCCTGTTGTCTAGTTGTCTTGGTTGTTAGGGAGCCTGTTGACTTTTGAGATTAACACCACTTATACATAAATTAATTATCTGAAAAGGAAGATTTGTTGATTTAAAATCATTGATTTCTTTAGCTTTTGTTTATAACTGGCAAATTGTAAGTGCTTAGTACTATGTTTTTATTTCTAAAAATCGAATCTGGTGTAACATTTCCCCATAATTTTGACTCTTAAAGTATTAAGATCACTTATATAGCAGTCCCTGGCTATGTGATGATAGTGACTCATTGGTGTCCTTTAATGTGTCAGTGAAGTATTAATTATAGATTGAAGTCAGGTTATGAGCCAATAAATGTTTGTTTGGCACTTTGTTGCCGTAAGTGCTGTTGAAAGGTAAAATAATTGGAGTGGTTCAGAAAGCTGTGTTCCCCAAGGCCCTGAGAAAAATTTCACTAAGATGTGCTTGGCTTCAAAAGATCGCTCAACCATGAATTATTAAGGCAATCTTTGTTTTAAAAAAAAGAGTAAAGTGATCTTTGTTTAAAAAAAAATTGGCCAGGCGTGATGGCTTAAGCCTGTAATCCCAGCACTTTGGGAGGCTTAGGTGGGCAGATCACCTGAGGTCAGGAGTTCAAGACCAGCCTAACATGGAGAAACCCAGTCTCTATTAAAAATACAAAATAAGCTGGCTGCGGTGGCACGTGCCTGTAAACCCAGCTACTGGGGAGGCTGAGGCAGGAGAATCACTTGAACCCTGGAGGCGGTGGTTGCGGTAAGCTGAGATCAACTATTGCACTATATCCTGGGCAACAAGAGCGAAACTCCATCTAAAAATAATTTTCTAAAAATGTTACTGTTTAGAGGTTAATTATTTTTGTCTCTTAGTTTAAATAATTCATGTTGTTTGTCAATGCTGCATAGCAGTAATCAGTGTCCATCTCCCTAGTTTAACTGGCACAAGAGCCAAGTGGGGAGGAAAGTACATGCTTGTCGTTGAAGAAGCTACTGTCTTCCTCTTTTCTTGCAGTGGATAACCCAACGAAGTGTATTTTTATTATCACTTAAGTATAGTTTTAGACATTGCTGTAATGTGGCTTTCTTACACTCAGTAAAATAAAACTCATTTTTGTAGCTTTGTAGTGTGTTATTTAAAGCATAACTTCTTAGTTGAAAAAATAATTCTGAAAAATCTAGTAAATAGTTCTTCCAAGGATTTTAAGAATATATTTGTATATGTATGCCTAAGAAAGATGGCTTAGAAACAAGGCAAGTCTTTTTTGTAATGCATACATTTAATGCCAGCTCTTCTTCCTTTTAGACCTGAAACAGTGTTAAAAAATCAAGAAGTAGAATTCGGCAGAAATCGAGAGAGGCTTCAGTTTTTTAAGGTATAAGTGATTCAAGGAAATTTTTGTGTTGTAATACATAAAATAGTGATAGATACAATTTTTGTATCTTTAGTAATTGTTTGTTTTTTTTTTTTTTTTGAGACAGAGTCTTACTCTGTCACCCAGGCTGGAGTCCAGTGGTATGATGTTAGCTCACTGCAACCTCGGCCTCCTGAGTTCAAGCAATTCTCTTGTTTCGGCCTCCCAAGTAACTGGGATTACAGGCACACACCACCACACCTGGCTAATTTTTGTATCTTTACTAGAGACGGGTTTCACCTTTTGACCAGGCTGGTCTCAGACTCCTAGCCTCAGGTGATCCACCCCACTCAGCCTCCCAGAGTACTGGGATTATAGGCGTGAGCCACAGTGCCTGGGCTATTTATTTATTTGAGGAAGAGTCATGCTGTTGCCCAGGCTGGAGTGCAGTGGTGTGATGATCTTGGCTCACTCCGTTTCCTGGGTTCAAGCAATTCTCATGATGCCTCAGCCTCCTGAGTAGCTGGGATTTCAGGCGTGTGCCACTGCCTGGCTACTTTTTGTATTTTTAGTAGAGACGGGGTTTTGCCATGTTGGCCAGGCAGGTCTCAAGCTCTTGGCCTCAAGCAATCTGCTCGCCTCGGCCTCCCACAGTGCTGTGATCACAGGCATGATCCCTCTGCCTGGCCACATTAGTCATTTCTAAAGGCCAGAGCCTTTAGAAAAATGCTTTTGTTCTTCAAATGAAATCTCATTGGAAACCTCATTGTATAAAGAAAGATGAAAACAGTGGCTCTAGTTTAGAAGAGACAGTTTGGAGGGAGGGTCTTGTACATTGAGCCTTTCTTTCTTTCTTCCCATTCCTGAGAATCTTTGGAACACAGCTGAATACTATCATTTGTCTGGACTTCTTGAACATTTTTATTTGACCTAAATTAATTTTGTCTTAATAAAAAATATATTTAGGTTCAGTATCTGTATATTTGTTTTTAAGTCCACGATATAAACTTTGTGTATATCATATTGAACATTAATCAGAATATTTTTAGTGTTAATGTTATAGCTTGTTTGTGAGCACAAATTCATATACTAACATTTGTATTTCTTAAACAAAATACAGTGGAGTTCAAGAGTTTTTAAGAATGTGGCAGTAATCCCTCCTGGAACTGGAATGGCTCATCAAGTAAACTTAGAATATTTGTCAAGAGTGGTATTTGAAGAAAAGGACCTCCTCTTCCCAGACAGTGTAGTCGGCACAGATTCACATATAACGATGGTGAATGGTTTAGGGATTCTGGGGTGGGGTAAGTAAATTACTAATATATTTCATTTCTTTTGGGGTAAGGATGTCACGAACATTTTTGAAAAACATATATTATTGGGTTTCTATAGCCTCTTTGAGGCTCTTGTTTTTTTCATCTGTAGTAGCAATAGCAACAACAAAGTCTTAATCGAGAGTTTGTGATGCTGTTGTAAAAGAGGATTTATGAAAAGAAATTTACACAATGCCTAGCACAGCACTACCATTTGTGAAGTAATTGAAGAATGAGGATGACGATATGTCTACAAAGGTTACTTCTTTTTTTTTTTTTTTTTTTTTAGACGGAGTTTTGCTTGTTACCCAGGCTGGAGTGCAATGGCGCGATCTCAGCTCACTGCAACCTCCGCCTCCTGGGTTCAGGCAATTCTCCTGCCTCAGCCTCCTGAGTAGCTGGGATTACAGGCACGTGCCACCGTGCCCAGCTAATTTTTTGTATTTTTAGTAGAGACGGGGTTTCACCATGTTGACCAGGATGGTCTCAATCTCTTGACCTCGTGATCCACCTGCCTCTGCCTCCCAAAGTGCTGGGATTATAGGCATGAGCCACTGCGCCCAGCCCTACAAAGGTTACTTCTTTGTTAAAGGTGCTTCTGTAGCTTCTCCTGGTCTTCTTTATAAGTCTAAATTTCTTACCATTTTATACAAGGCTCTTCACAACGTCTGGTGTTCTTTAGCCATTCATCCATACCCATCTTAGAGACTAGTCATTTCTTTGCTTGTGTGGGATGTCTCTCTTCATTTTTTTGGAGACAGAATCTTGCTCTGTTGCCTAGGGTGGGGTGCAGTAGCTCAGTCTAGGCTCAGTGCAACCTCTGCCTCCTGGATTCAAGTGATTCCTGTGCCTCAGCCTCCCAAGTAGCTGGGACTATAGGCATGTGTCACCACGCCCAGCTAATTTTTGTATTCTTAGTAGAGATGGGGTCTCGCCATGTTGGCCTTGCTGGTCTGGAACTCCTGGCCTCCAGTGATTCACCTGCCTAGGCCTCCCAAAGTGCTGGTAATCCCAGGCACAGCTAGGTGTGCTCTTTTATACCTTGACTTTGCATAGGCTATTACCTCCAGCAGAATGCATTCTGCCGACCATTCCTTTTTGTTGAAATGTAGCTACTTTTAACTCATCCAAGACTGACCTCAGTTATCTTCTGAAAGCCTTAACTCCCCTTGCTGCTGTGTACCTCACTTTGTACTTATTCTTTCACAGGGTGTTATAATTGTTGATTTTTTGTCTTTTTCATTAGACTGAACTTGTTGAAGTTGGCAGGGACTAGATTCTGTTTATATCTGTATCTTGACTGTAGTACAGGGCCTAGCATAATGAATACTCAAACTAATATTTTAGCTTGCATATACTTAAAATTAATATTGGCCAGATGAGGTGGCTCACATCTGTAATCCCAGCATTTTGGGAGACTGACATGGGCAGATCACAAGGCCAGGAGTTTGAGACTATCCTGGCCAACATGGTGAAACCCCATCTCTACCAAATACAAAAAATTAGCTGGGTGTGGTGGCGTGTGCCTGTAGTCCCAGCTACTCAGAAGGCTGAGGCAGGGGAATCACTTGAACTCAGGAGGTGGAGGTTGCAGTGAGCCAAGATCATGCCACTGCACTTCAGCCTGGCAACAGACAGAGCAAGACTCCCGTCTCAAAAATACAAAACAAAACAAACAATATTTTACTGTGAATATAAAGTTAAAATAATAGTTTTTCAATCATGTGTGTGGAGTCATTCTTTTGGGAAGGTTTTGGGTTCAGTGTCCGCATTAATAGCAATAGAGGTACTCTGTAAGGTACTGTGTAGGATAAACTCATGAAACACCTAGATATTCAGATGTTACAGAGATAAATTATTTTTAAATATATTGTGCTAATATACCTGTCTTTATTATGTTAGGGGTTGGAGGCATTGAAACAGAAGCAGTTATGCTTGGTCTGCCAGTTTCTCTTATTTTACCAGAGGTTGTTGGATGTGAGTTAACTGGGTCATCAAACCCTTTTGTTACATCCATAGATGTTGTTCTTGGCATTACAAAGGTAAGTTAAAGTAGTGGTAGAGCTCTACAACCTAGTGAACATTATTTTTATATAAATGGAAGAGCCCTATGAGAGCAGGGATTTGGGTTCATTACTTCATCCTCAGGTCTCTGACATTAGCCTTGTCATCCTGGTTATCATAGTAATAACAACAAACATAGCATTAATTTTGTACCAATAAATCAGAGAAACCTGTTGTGTTCACTTCTGTTAGCTCATTTTGTCCTCATAACAAGCCTGTGAGATGGGTACTATTACTATCCTCATTTTAACTCTGAGAAAACTAAGGTACAGTAAGGTTTAGTGACTTAACAGAGGGTCAGAGGGCTGAGTAGTAGAAACAAAGATTCTAACCCAGGCAGTCAGATTATTGAGTCCATTCTCTTAACCATTATACCTTATTAGTACCTTGTTGCCTTAATAAATACTTGTTGACTACATGATTGTTTTTCTTTTTTCTACATGAATTAAAAAAAATGTTTAACAAAAGTTGATTGTATCTTCTTTAATCGAATTATTTGCCCCTTAGAAACTGTTGCTCTACTAAGTAATGCTTTCAAAAACGTGGACTTTAGAAATGTGATGTATCAGATTTTTCTGTTGCTGTTTTAACATTTCTCTGGATTATGTAAAAAACTTTTCTCATAATTTTTAAAATTCTGGCTGCAGGCATTTAATACATACACTGAGCTGCTTAATACATAGGCTCACGGGTTTCCTAGTGAACAATAATTTGTAACTCTTCTTCCTAAATGTCTGGCTTTTACTAACTTTACTTTAGTGATTAAGTCCTATTTTGTTAAATGAATGTACCTGGAAAATGTTCCATGTATAATCCCAATTCAGATCCCAATCTCAGCATTTTTGGTTAGATTATTAATATGAAGGCTTTCAGGATACTCTACAGGGTAAGGAAATGATAATGCCTCCCTTTCAGCATTTAGTATTGATCCTTCTTCCCTAATTAGAAAAGAATTTGGCATCTTGTAAGGAAACGATAATGCCTCCCTCTCAGCAGTTGGTATTGATCCTTCTTCCCTAATTAGAAAAGAATTTGGCATCTTAGAGAAATTATCGATTCAATATATGGAACCAAAAGATCAAGAGGTAAATTGGGAATTACAGGATTATTCCTAAAGGAAAAGAAATATCCCATTATGTTTTTAAAGTAATCAATTCTTTACTTTAGACATCCTGAAATTAATGCTGCTTTTTGGCTTTCACTGGCTTTTTTCCTAACACTATTACTATGTGTTTTTGACAGTTTATTGTTAAAAAAGTTAGTCTATTATGTATGTTTACATTTATTGAATATATTATTACTTTTTTCGAGATCCTTTTCTATTTGTGATCCTTATAAGAGTAATCATGTAATTTTTTTTTTTTTTTATGAAAGCAGCATTTGGTTTGTAATAGCCAATCTGCATTTCTCTCATCCTAAAAAATATAACCATAAATGTAAGGAAACATCTTTACATTTTAAAGTTTGAGTTTTTGTATCTATAAAAAAAGAGTTTGGGCTTAATATTATTCATAGATTGAGGATAGTTTCACTCTTAGTCACCTCCTTACTCACTCTCCCTATACCAATCTGAGACTATTTTACAATTTAGAAAAGACAGTAGCTGGTTGGGTTACTCGATAGTATAATAACCAAGAAAAATAATTTTAGAAGGAATTAAGTTTGAAACTACATGTTAACAAATTCTACCAAAATGGAATTTGTGTGTAATTAAAGATGCTGTAAACATTTTGGCCAGTAGTTATAATTTGAAAAATTTTATAGCCAGTATATAATTTTTTATTTGAATATACAGCTTCATCTGTCTACTAGTGTTTCATTAAGTCTACAATGCAATCAGTTGTTAGCAAATACCACTGTTCTATGCACTGCTAAGAAAGAATAAGAGGCTGTGCACAGTGGCTCACACCTGTAATCCCAGCAGTTTAGGAGGCCAAGGCAGGAATATCACTTGAGACCAGAAGTTCAAGATCAGCTTGGTCAACATTGTAAGATCCTGTCTCTACAAAAAAAAAATTTAAACATTAGCTGGGTGTGGTGGCATATGCCTGTAGTTCCAGCTACAAGGAGGCTGAGGTTGGAGGATTGCTAGAGCCGAGGTGTTAGAAGCTGTAGTGAGCTGTGACCACATCACTGCACTCCAGCCTGGGTAACAGTGAGACCCTGTTTCTAAAAGAAAGAAAAGGGGCTGCCAGCCAAACAGACACACTATTGAGTTGATTTACCCTGATTTCAAAGACATGAAAATGTTAATCATAGCCACCTTGAGTTTTCAGGCCTTTTCTATCCTGATTAACAGTGACATTGAACCATTCTTCTGTTGACTCCTCATGTTAAATATCCACAAAAGCAGAATGAGTTGATGTTTCATAAAAACGATGAAAGATCGCATTCCTTCACCATTGCTAGTACTGGTTAGAAATTGTATTTTATAGTTTTCAGATAATCTTTGCTAATTTTGTGTATATTTCTGTGTATCCCTTATATAGCACCTCAGGCAAGTAGGAGTGGCTGGGAAGTTTGTTGAGTTTTTTGGAAGTGGAGTTTCACAATTATCTATAGCTGATCGAACTACAATAGCAAACATGTGTCCGGAATATGGTGCTATCCTCAGCTTTTTCCCTGTGGACAATGTGACATTAAAACATTTAGAGCATACAGGTAAGATAAAAGATCATTAGAATAAACATGTTACATTTCCAATGTGTTTGATAATATTTTATAAATTACTACCTTATACATGTTATTTAGTATTCACAAAATTATTACATTTTGTTGAAACGACTGTCAAGTAAACATCAGATGTCTTTAAAGAGTGTTGTGTCCTCAAACCCTAGTTCTCTGTGACCCATTGAAAGCAATTTAAAGGAATTATTTAAACCATTGATCCTAACTTGACAGTTTCCCCATAATGATGGATAACTTCACCTCCACTTAGGGGTCAGAGATTGCAGTTTAATGGAAGTCAGCCTTAAACATATTCACAGCAGTTCTTCTACAACCAAGAGTAGAGGAGCTGTCAGACAAAGGGGATTGGGAATCAGTCTTCTATCTAAAGAAGCGGAAGCACAAAATTTTGCAAAAAACAGCATAGGACCATAGGTTCTAAATCTTTTTGTAGCCTGATTAACTAGGAATTTTGACTACTCATCTGTTAATATTGAAATAGAAGGTACCTACAAAACAGGATATGTTATTTCATAACGCTGCTATTTAAAAAGGAAGATCTCCTTTTTAATCTCTAGTGGAGTGATCATTGTTGACTTGCTCATTTCTAAGTTTAGATATATATTTGGAGGATATATTCTAGTATTCTTCAGTGTGGGGGCAGATTATTATGTTAGTGAATCAAACAGCAAAATTGATGAATGAGCCCCCCAAAATGCAAAACTTTTGCATTTGAGTTGGTAGAACATCCAAAGTAGAAATGGTTAGAAGTGCCTTATTTCTTGCATATTAATCTTGAATTAAGGTTTTAGTGATCCTATGTAACAAATTATCCTACAAGTTGTGGCTTGCACAAGTAATAATTATTAGCTCATGGTTTCAGTGGGTCAGTAATTCAAACAGGACACAGTGGGGACAGCTCATCTCTGTTTCATGTCTTTGGCCTCAGCTGCAAGATTTGAAAGGCAGGGCCTGGAATCGTGAAGGCTTGTTCTGCTTGTATGTCTGACAGCAAATTATGAGCTGTCAGCTGGGGACTTCGGTAAGGCTGTCAAGCAAAACACCCTCCTGTGGTTTCTCTGGGTAGTCTGGGCTTTCTCACATGGTACAGTCTCAAGGATTAGGAGAAAGAGAAATGTAAATGAATATGTAAATAGTATTTGTTGTCTTGCTCATCACTGGAATTCAGTACCCTTTCTCCCAAAGATTTCAGAATTCCTTACTGAAGTCAGGCCCAGTGTCTCACACATGATCCTAGCACTTTGGGAGGTTGGGGGCAGGAGGATTGGATGAGAATCTCATGAGACCAGGAGTGTGAGACATAGCAAGACCTTCCTCTCTACAGGAAAATTAAAAACTAGCGAGGTGTGGCAGTACACACTTGCAGTCGAAGCTACTTGGGAGGTTAAGGCGGGAGAATGACTTGAACCCAGGAGTTCAAAGTTTCATTGAGCTATGATGGCACCACTGTACTCCAGCCTTGGTGACAGCAGTGAGACCCTGTTTCTAGAAATAATTTATTGGCAGGGTGTGGTGGCTCATACCCAAAATCCCAGCCCTTTAGGAGGCCAAGGCAGGAGGATCACTTGAGACTATCCTAGTCAAACAAGATCCTCATTTGTACAAAACATTTGTAAAAAAGATTAACCAGGCACAGTGGTATGTACCTATAGTCACAGCTGCTTGGGAAGCTGACATGGGAGGATTGCTTGAGCTCAGGAGGTCAAGGCTGCAGTGAATTGTGATTGCAGCACTGTGCTCTAGCCTGGGCAACAAAGTGAAACCTAGTCTGAAAAAAATAATAAGTAAATAAATTTCTCACTGCATTTTGTTCATCTTCGTTTTAGGTTTTAGCAAAGCCAAACTCGAGTCAATGGAAACATACCTTAAAGCTGTGAAATTGTTTCGAAATGACCAGAATTCTTCAGGAGAACCTGAATACTCCCAGGTATTTGCAGAATAACCCACCTAGTAAAGAGTGTAAATTGTGGGCCTGGTATGGTATAATCCCAGTGCTTTGGAAGACCAGGGTGGGTTGATTGAGGTCAAGAGTTTGAGGCCAGCCTGGGCAACATGATAAAATCCTGTCTCTGCAAAACTGTGTAAACATTAGCTGGGCATGGCTTGCGCCTGTAGTGCCAGCTACTAGGGATGCTGAGGTGGGAGGATCACTTGAGCCTGGGGGGTGGAAGTTGCAGTGAGCTGAGATCATGCCACTGTACTCCAGCCTAGGTGACAGAGTGAGACTTGTGTCAAAAAGAATAAAAAGTAAATTCCGTAGTGCCTGACCACCTGGGTTTGAATCCGAGCTCTAAGATACGTTAGCTGTATAACCTTGGGCAATTTATTTAGCCTTTCTGCCTCAGTTTTCTCACCTGTTAGATATGACAGTAATATCTGCCTCTAAGGATTCTTAGATAGATTAAACACAAATTCATAGAATAGTTCCAGACACATAGTAAGAGCTCAAAAAGGGTAGCTAATCTTTTTGTTTTGCTTTTTGTGACAGAGTCCAACTCTCTCACCAGGCTGGAATGCAGTGGCACAATCATGGCTCACTGCAGCCTCAACCTCTGGGCTCAAGCAGTCCTCCCACCTTGGCCTCCCAAAGTGCTAAGATTACAGGCATGAGCTACCACCATGTCTAGTCCCCTTTTTGTTTTAATACTATTATTATTATTTAATGTTATTATTTTTCAAGACACTTGGCAGGGCCTCATTTTACTGCCCAGGCTGGTCTCAAACTCCTGGCTTCAAGGGATCCTCTGGCCTTAGCCTCCCAAAGTGCTGGGAGCCACTGGGCCTGGCTAAAGGGGTAGCTATTATTATTATTATTTAAGTAATGTTATTATAGCCCATTGCTTTTATTTTATTCATTAATTTTACATAGAGTTTTATTGTGAATTTTGTAATATTTTATGAGGCCTAGTTGTAGTTTTTGGGGATTTTTTTTTAATAGAGAAAGACCCCAGGCTGGTCATCATTTTTTTTTTTTTAAATTTAAGTTCTGGGGTACATGTGCAGATCATGCAGGATTGTTACATAAGTATACACATGCCATGGTGGTTTGCTGTATCTATCCTAGCTATCCCTCCCCCAGCTCCTCCATTCCCCAGCAGGCCCTGGTGTGTGATGTTCCCTTTCCTGTGTCCGTGTGTTCTCATTGTTAACACCCACTTATGAGTGAGAACATGCAGTGTTTGGTTTTCTGTTCCTGTGTCAGTCTGCTGACAATGATGGTTTCCAGCTTCATCTGTGTCCCTGCAAAGAACATGAACTCATCCTTTTCTGTGACTGCATAGTATTCCATGTTATATATGTGCCACATTTTCTTTATCCAGTCTATCATTGATCAGCATTTGGGTTGGTTCCAGGTCTTTGCTGTTGTAAACAGTGCCCCAGTGAACATACGTGTGCATGTGTCTTTATAATAGAATGATTTATAATCATTTGGGTATATACCCAGTAATGGGATTGCTGGGTCAAATGGTATTTCTAGTTCTAGATCCTTGAGGAATCACCACACTGTCTTCCACATTGGTTGAACTAATTTACACTCCCACCAACAGTGTAACCACCAACATCTTAAAAAAAGCATCTATTTCTCCACATCCTCTCCAGCGTCTGTTGTCTTCAGATTTTAATGATCGCTATTCTAACTGGCGTGAGATGGTATCTCATTGTGGTTTTGATTTGCATTTCTCTAATGACCAATGATGATGAGCATTTTTTCATATGTTTGTTGGTCACATAAATGTCTTCTTTTGAAAAGTATCTGTTCATATCCTTTGAACACTTTCTGATGGGGTTGTTTGTTGTTTTCTTGTAAATTTGTTTAAGTTCTTTGTAGAAAACATTTTTTTGTAAGAAATGGCCAGGCATGGTGGTGTGCGCCTGTGTTCCCAGCTACTTGAGAGATTGAGGGGCAGGATTTTTTGAGCCTGGGAGTGTGAGGCTGAAGTGAGCCATAATTGTGCCATTGCACTCAAATTTGGGTGACAGATTAAGACCCTGTCTCAAAAAAACAAAACAAAACTGTATATTTCAGGCATTTCAACTACATTCACCTCGTTATGCAAAACACTGCTTGAAATTTTACCTCTTGTAAAACTAAAACTCAATATGCGTTAAATAACATTTACCCATTTTATGCTGTCTTTAGCCCTTGACAAACACCATTTCACATTCTGTTTTTATGAGTGTGACTATTTTATATCTCATATAAGTGAAATCATAACATCCATCATTTTGTTACTGGCTTATTTCATTTGAAATATATTCTTAACGTGCATCTTTAAATGTCACAAGATATTTTTTTTAAGACAATAATATTTCATCATATTAAATATGTCTTCAAGGGTAAAAAAAAAAAGTTCTTTGTAGATTCTGGGTATTAGCCCTTTGTCAGATGGGTAGGTTGCAAAAATGTTTTCACATTCTGTTGGTTGCCAGTTCACTCTAATGATAGTTACTTTAGCTGTGCAGAAGCTCTTAAGTTTAATTAGATCCCATTTGTCTATTTTGGCTTTTGTTGTTATGCCTAGGCTGGTCTTAAACTTCTGGCTTTAAGCAATCCCTCCTGCCTTGGCCTCCCAAATTGCGGGGATTACAGATGTGAACCACCCATGCCCAGCCTATGAAGTCCAATTTTTTAGTGTTTAAAATGATCATAGTGACTCTTATTTCTTTGCTCTAATTTATTTCTACTTTATGATAAGAGTAATATCTTCCTCCAGAATAATCAGTTTTGACGTTACCTTCATCTGGTTCACTTGTATATTTTGCAAAATTCCATTATTAATGATATACACCATTATGCAGTCTTACATGTTAAAGGCATTTTACAATTTAAGTAAATATTTACCTGAAATTAGCCAGGAGTAGTGGCACACTCCTGTGGTTCCAGATATTCAGGAGGCGAGTGGGGACGATAGCTTGAGGCCAGGAGGTCAAGGCTGCAGTGAGTTATGGTCTTGCCACTGCATCTAGCCTGGGTGACAGAGTGAGACCCTGTCTTAAAAAAAAAATATATATATATATATATATATATATAATCTGTTGGAAATTTATATTAAAATAGGTAGAATTCACTTCCAGGGAAGTCAATTTTAATAAAATTCATTTTCTAGGAGGGTGTCAGTGATATCTAACAACATGGTTTCACAGGTTTGGTTAACTGTTAAGGTATTTTTTGTGGGGAAATGTATTGTCTTGCCCATCTTCACTTTTCCTCATAGCATGTTCCTGTCTGGCATTATTTATTTATTGGTGTACTGTTTGTCTAGAATACAAGTAAGCTCCCTGACTAAAATACAAGTCAACTCCATGAGGACAGGAACTTTGGTTTGGTATTGTATCCCCAGCTTCTAGAAAAATGCCTGGTACACAGTAGATATTCAGTAAACATGTTAGGTGAATAAATGAATACATATAACCATATTGAAGGGCCAGCATAGGACCCATAGAAATTGAATTTGTGTGCTACATTGGGCAAATCTTTTTACTTCTGATCATTTTTTAATCACTTTCACCTTTATTTGTTAAATCTAGTGCTTTGTCCACTTTTTTTTTCCTTGTTCACATTTTTTTTTTTTTTTTTGGGAGACAGTGTCTTGCTCTGTCGCCCAGGCTGGAGTACAGTGACATGATCTCTGCTCACTGCAACCTCCGCCTCCTGGGTTCAAGCAGTTCCCTGCCTCAGCCTCCTGAGTAGCTGAGATTACAAGCATGTACCACCGTGCTTGGCTATTTTTGTATTTTTAGTAGAGATGGAGTTTCACCATCTTGGCCAGGCTGGTCTTGAATTCTTGACCTCGTGATCCACCTGCCTCGGCCTCACAAAGTGCTGGGATTACAGGTGTGAGCCACCGTGCCTGACCTCTTGTTCACATTTTTTAAAATACATAAACGGAAAGAATAAGAAAAATGGGAAAACTTGGTTGGTAGAATAAAATGGAGTAAATGTGCCTGTTAAAAATCCTTGGCTAGGTGCAGTGGCTCACACCCTTAATCCCAGCACTTTGTAGGCCAAGGCAGGCAGATCACCTGAGGTCAGGAGTTCAAGACCAGCCTGGGCAAGATGGTGAAACCCTTTCTCTAGTAAAAATACACACATGTGCGCGTGTGCGCATGCCAGGTGCTGTAGTGGGTGCCTGTAATCCCAGCTACTCAGGAGGCTGAGGCACAAGAATCGTTTGAACCCAGGAGGCAGAGATTGCAGTGAGCTGAGATGATACCAGTGCACTTGAGCCTGGGTAACAGAGAGAGACACTGTCTTTAAAAAAGAAAAAAATCCTCACCAGGCCAAGTGTGGTGGCTCATGCCTATAATTAGAACCCTTTGGTAGGCCAAGGTAAGAGGATTACATAAAGGCCAGAAGTTCAAGACCAGCATCATAAACAAGAACCCATCCCTACCATAAAGGGATGGATGGCTTGAGTCCATGAGTTTGAAGCTGCAGTGAGCTATGAGCATCACTGCACTCCAGCCTTGGGAGATAGCAAGACCTGCCCAGGCTGGAGTGCAGTGGTGCAATCTTGGCTCACTGCAACCTCCACTTCCCCAGCCCAGACGATTCTCCTGCCTCAGCCTCCTGAGTGATTGGGATTACAGGGACACACTACCATGCCCGGCTATGTTTTGTATTTTTAGTAGAGATGGGGTTTTACCATGTTGGCTAGGCTGGTCTCAAATTCCTGACCTGAAGTGTTCCACCCGCCTCAGCCTTCCAGAGTGCTGGGATTACAGGCATGAACCACCGCACCTGGCTGAAGACCCTGTTTCTAAAGAAAAAGTGAAAACAAACCTGACTGTATAAAGAAATAAAACTAAAATCATTAAGATACTGATTTCAAGAGAAACGTATTAAATGTATAATTATGGGCAATGAGCAGGATCGCCTGAATCCATTAAATCAAAGTATAAGTAAACCAGGTGTGGTTGCTTATGCATGTAATCCCAACACTTTGGGAGGCTGTGGTGGAGGATTGCTTTAGCTCAGGACCAACCTAGGCAACCTAGTGAGACCTTGTCTCTACTAAAATTCTATTAGCTAGGCATGGTGGTGCATGCCTGTAGTCCCAGCTACTTGGGGTGGAGGATCACTTGAGCCCAGGAGGTTGAGGCTGTAGTTAGCCCTGATTGTGCCGGTGTGCTCCAGCCTGGGCAACAGAGTGAGAACCTTTCTCAATAAAAGTAATAATAAATAAGTGTAAGTTAGTTGGATCAGTCAGAATAAACATGGATATAAAATAATGATGAAAGCCATGATGAAAAGTTTCAAATTGGTTATATTCACATAAATGCATGAAGGAAATGGTAGAAATACCAGAAGAAATAAATAGAAATCTAGTTGGGAAGTGGGATTTTTAACAAAATCCAGTTTCCTAACCAAGGAATAATAGCCTGGGCTGTAGCAGGCTGGGCAGTGAAACCCTCTGCAACTCTACTTTGTTTCTTCAGCACCCTCTAGTGACCAGTCTTCACATTGTGTGCTGACAACAGAGAAATGTTTCCTAACCGTTTACCTCTGTGATCACAGAGCTGGCAAAGGAGGGTGGATTTGGAGCTCAGGGGCAATAAGTTGATAGCTGACACACGCATCTAGCTTATCATTGGACATCTGTTAAGACAGTGTTTATCTTTGTGGGAAAACACACTTGGGGGAAACCACAGGTTTTATATATACAGTACAGTTACTGTTGTGGTAGTTTAATTGCATTCTAATCTAGTCTTTTAGCAAATTTTCATGTTTCATACATTTAAATGGGTTTGTTTTTTTGTTTTTGAGACAGAGTCACACTGGTGCCCAGGCTGGAGTGCAGTGGCGCGATCTCAGCTCACTGCAACCTCCGCTTCCTGGTTTCAAGTGATTGTCCTGTCTCAGCCTCCGGAGTAGCTGGAACTACAGACGCATGCCACCACACACACTAATATTTTATGGTGAGATGGGGTTTCATCATGTTCACCAGGATGGTCTCAATTCCCTGACTTCAAGATTCACCCGCCTCAGCCTCCCAAAATGCTGGAATTACAGGCGTGAGCCACCATGCCTGGCCATGGGCTTGTTTTAAGATCTTTATTTCTTGGGGTTGAGTTGATGTGTTACACCATTAAAATAAATATGAGTATACTCATTCTGCTTTAGAAAGTAATGCTTGAGGTTGGGCGCAGTGGCTCAGGCCTGTAATCCCAGTGCTTTGGGAGGCCAAGGTGGGCAGATCACAAGATCAAGAGATTGAGACCATCCTAGTCAACATGGTGAAACCCCGTCTCTACTAAAAATACAAAAATCAGCCAGGCATGGTGGTGCGTGCCTGTAGTTCAGCTACTTGAGAGGCTGAGACAGGAGAATCGCTTGAACCTGGGAGGTGGAGGTTGCAGTGAGCCAAGATTGTGCCACTGCTCTTTAGCCTGGAGGCAGAGTGAGACCGTCTCAAAAACAAAACAAAACAAAAGTAATGCTTGAATTGGAATCTATAGTAAGGAAATTTCTTGTTCTTTCTCTTTCTCATTTCCTAGGTGATCCAGATTAATCTGAATTCAATAGTTCCATCTGTTAGTGGTCCAAAAAGACCTCAGGATAGAGTTGCTGTGACAGATATGAAAAGTGATTTCCAGGCTTGCTTAAATGAAAAGGTAGGTTACTTTATTGTTATCCGTGTTTGTCAACATGCTTTGTGCTAAGTAGTAAAGAACTAACAAAGTGACCCATAAACTCAGTTCACTGCTGTGCTTTATATATTATGGCACACACCAGCAGCCCCCTTATTTTCCTGCTGGCTGATGTGCAAGTCAGTCATTTGGTAAGCTTACTACTCCCAGTTCCATTGTGAGGATCAGAGATTGATTGTGTCTATTTAAATTAAAATTATATAAAATTTTAAATTGAGTTTCTTAAGTCACAGTAGTCTCATTTTTAAATGCTGAATAGCTACATATGGCTCTTGTATTGATGAACAGCATAGGTAAATGAATATTTACATCATCACAGAAACTTTTTTTTTTTGAGATTGGGTCTCACTCTGTTGCCCAGGCTGGAGTGCAGTTGTGCAATCTCGGCTCACTGCAACCTGCCCCTCCTGGGTTCAAACAATTCTCCTGCCTAGAATTTGGCTTTCCTTTTAGAGCCTTTCTTTTTATGATTTCTTGACTTTTTGTTCAAAGTGTTAAACTTGTATAAAAACAAAATAGTCTGCTGAATTGCCATATACCTGTCACTTAGCTCAATAATTACCAACTTATAGTCAATCTTGTTCGTCTATACTGCACTAACACACATAGGATCCCTTTGGAGCAAATCTTCAGGGTCATATTAACAGAAAAAAGTTAGTCCCATCTCTTGAGAATTACTGTAAGCAGGCATGATGAAGAACAACAAAGCCAAATAAGATCTGGATTGTGGGTGGGTGGCTGGCCTCGCTTAGTAGATAAAAGTTTTGCTTGAGAACATCACCAGACTCCTGTCGTGCCCATGCAGATTCATGCTTCAGCTGAATTACAACTACTGAATGTTATGGGCCTTCAGCATCACTCACAAATAGGATTTTTAATGTTAAGTCATCAAATGTCAGGTGTCTGCTATGTTTTCTGTTGGTCTTTTGTTCTGTACATACCCAGAATATTTAGTTTATATTTTTGTGGAAATTTGTATAGGTAGGATTTAAAGGCTTCCAAATTGCAGCTGAAAAACAAAAGGATATTGTCTCCATTCATTATGAAGGAAGTGAATATAAGCTATCTCATGGATCAGTGGTCATTGCTGCAGTTATCAGTTGTACCAATAATTGCAATCCATCTGTCATGCTTGCTGCAGGTAGGTTGTGGTTTATGGCCATACATTTTTTTTCCACAAAATTATTGTTAGCTTTTCTGTTATATTAACTTTTTGTTTCTTAGATATGCATGAATATCAGTGTCTACATTTGATATTGAGAGACTTTCTAATATTTTAATTAGGTCTTAAGGAGCCTGAGTTTAATTTATGTTACTAATTTTGTTTTTATTACACAGAAGGTAAATTTACTGTTTACTATAACTTACCTATCAATTAATTTTAGGTTGTATTTGCCTCTCTTGTAACTTAGAAGTATCGTTAATTAGCAGGTATTTCTTGATTATCTAGAAATTAGCCATAACAGTGTGGTAGATTTCATTAAAAATTATAAAGGTAGTAAAAGATCATTGTCTTGGCAAGGATTGTAAATGAAGTCAATTCGTATACCCATTGGAACAATTCCTTAGTTGTATAAAACCATATTGTGATTATGACTTAAAAAATGGTTCAGTGTAGGAAAAAAAAGAAAAAGAGAAGAAAGAGAAAAAAATATTTTGTTAATATCTACTTAAATGTGCATCGTTTGTTTCCATTTGTGTGAATGTCATCTGCCTGTATCTTAATAATTTTCAACATAAAGACTAGTATATTTACTGCAATTTTAAATTTGTCATAAATGAAGCAAATTAGTAGAACAAAGTGGACAAAATAATGACAATAAGTTTATAAATTCAGACTTTTACTCCAATCTGAATTGGAGATGAAATCTGTTAAATTATTTCTCACCTTCTACTTTGAGTGAAAGAGGGAAAGAAATGTTGCCATAATAAATCATTGTTTGTTGGCTGTGCAGGTCTTTTGGCTAAAAAGGCTGTGGAAGCTGGTCTGCATGTTAAACCTTACATAAGAACAAGTTTATCTCCAGGCAGTGGGATGGTTACACATTACCTCAGTTCAAGTGGAGTATTACCATATCTCAGCAAGCTTGGGTAAGTGGCAGCTGTCTCTCTATACTGATGTTGGTGTTCAGTAGGTACTGAAGCTGCTTGTTTGAGCCTTTCATATACAAAGAGAAGACAGAAAAAATATGCTTTAGTTTTACTTGCTACCTTGCCATTACCATACAATTTTCGAAGCCTTATCACTCAGGAAACACTTATTGGCCATATCAACTGAGCAAAACACCACGTTGGATACGTAGAAGTAGGAGATGTGGTCTTAGCTTCAGGATACTTAGTAGGAAAGACAAGTACAACCACCTAACAGTCGCAGTATAAGGAACAATACCAAGTATACACAATTTCTGTGAGTTGCGTAGGTCAGTTCCGAAAAGAAAGAAATCTTATTGTTTGCATTTATTAGCTGAAAATTGTCTTAATTTTAGTTTTATGAGGTTATTGGATCTGTAATACATAAGTTTAAATTGTCCCTGAACTTTGGAGAAAGTAATGCGTTTTTAATGTAATCATAAACAATTGATGCTAGTTGTGTGGGGATTTTTTTGTTTTTGAGACAGTGTCTTGCTCTGTTGCCCACACTGGAGTGCAGTAATGCAATCACAGCTTATTGCAGCCTCAACCTCCTAGGCTCAAGCAGTCCTCCTGCCTTAGCCTCCTGAGTAGCTGGACTACAGGTGTGTACCACCACATGCAGCTAATTTTTGTATTTTTAGTAGAGACAGTTTCGCCATGTTGGCCAGGCTCATCTCAAATGCCTTGCCTCAAGTGATCCACTCGTCTCAGCCCCGCAAAGTCCTGGGATTACAGGCCTGAGCCACCACACCCAGGCTAGTTGTGTTTTCATTGTGTATTTTGGAACATATGAGTCATCAATTCCTGTGCAAAACTGATGAATTTTAGATTTTTTGCTTTTAGAATATTATCTGTAAGTAATTTAGAGGATTATACCAGTAATCTTTTAGTTATATCATCTTGGATTTATTGTCAAGGACTCTTCTTGGGTTTAATTGGTTGATAATTAAGCTCTGATTTACTCCTATCAGAGTGCCCAATTAACCTCTTTTGGGACCTTTGGTGAGGTTATTATAGCCAGGTCCTCTGATACTTTACATTTTAAACCCCTTGGATGGAAGTACACTATCAATTGTTTTAAAAGGTCATGTTATATTCCTAGCAAGTAGTATTTGAGAAGTTTTCTTGTACTGTTTCTTAAGTGCTGTTAAGGCTCTTCAAAGGTTTACATTCACTGCAAATAGCATGCCTGAGAGTTAGACTTGATTGCTCAGAATGTTGTGAAAGGAACATATTGTTGAAGATTAAACCATGTGTCATGAATAGTCTTTTAAGTAATCTTATTACAGAGGTGGAAATAGAAGATAAAACTTGTCCTTTCTCTATAAATGCTGTGATGTGCTATTCAATCACTTTTTTTAATGCAGATTTGAAATAGTTGGCTATGGATGTTCAACATGTGTGGGAAATACAGCACCCTTATCAGAAGCAGTTTTGAATGCAGTAAAACAGGTAAAATGTTTGGATTGGCAAGATATCTAAGTGATTTTCTTAATTATGTTTTGTTATTAAATTATGGAAAATATATATTGATATCTTTGTGTTTCTGTACTCTGTACTTCTTGGCAATAATAACCTGTGAATTTTTAAATGATTCAAAGACTCATTTGTAGGTCCTTGAAATAATTTCTTAATGTGAGGAATTGATTGAGTTTATTCACAAGATGGATAGTTCTATATTTAAAAATTAGTAGTATGTTTTTTGGTTAATCTTGCCCTCAGACCTTAATATTTAAGATTGCTTACATATGATTATCCAGATTTGTACCATCTTTAGAATTGAATATATTTGTATGTGTGTGTTTCTTTTTTTTCAGGGTGACTTGGTTACCTGTGGAATTTTATCTGGAAACAAAAATTTTGAAGGTCGTCTTTGTGATTGTGTTCGTGCCAGTTATCTTGCCTCTCCACCCTTAGTGGTAGCTTATGCTATAGCAGGCACAGTGAATATAGATTTCCAGACAGAACCTTTAGGTATCTTTTTCTTTATGTATATGTATACCTACACACACTTTTTCCCACAGAAGTTGTTATATTTTTTAAATGTTTCTTAGACCATCTGTTCTTTGAATTATTTCAGGAAAACTTATGATAATGTATAGTTATTAATTTCTGTGTTTACGAGAAGAAAATAAAATGTGCAGGTAATTAGTTCTTCCAGCCCCATAAACCTGTAGCACCCTGTTGAATCATTTACTTGGTTTCCATGATACGTCTTTGAAAAGGTATGAACATTTTCAGAGAGTTGTTTTTTTACTGAGTATCATGTTCAAAACTTTTAACCAGGTACTGACCCTACTGGCAAGAACATTTACCTGAATGATATTTGGCCTAGTCGAGAAGAAGTTCATCGGGTTGAGGAAGAACATGTTATACTATCCATGTTTAAAGCATTAAAAGAGAAAATAGAGGTGAGAGTCTTATGTGTTTCTTAAATAGTTTAATCAATTTGCAGTGTTCTTTTATTTCATATATCTTGTCTTCTGAATAGAATAAAAATTTAAATTACATTATTTTGAATGTAGTTTTTAATGTGTAATAGTTTGTCTCTGGAATCTGTAATTAAAAAGAAAATTGCTTAGAGTTATCAGAATTGATTAGGTGTTGATTGAATGATCCATGCAGCAAACCACTGTGGCACACATTTACCTATGTAACAAATCTGCACATCCTACACATGTACCCCAGAAGTTAAAAGTTTAGGGGGAAAAGAAAGAATTGATTAGGTGTTCGAATATATCAATGAACAAAACACAAAATTCCCCTGGGAGGAGGCCAATAAACTTACAGAATAATTAGATAAATGATGCAATATTTGTTATTTTTTATTTATTTTTTTGGGAGATGGCACTCTACTCTGTCACCCAGGCTGGAGTACAGTGGCCTGAACCAGTTCACTACAGCCTCAACCTCCTGAGCTTAAGCAATCCTGCTGCCTCAGCCTCCCAAGTAGCTGGGACCACAGGCGCTCACCACCAACCCCAGCTGATTTTTTAATTTTTTGTAAAATAAAAAATAAAAATGCTCAGGCTGGTCTCAAACTCCTGGACTCAAGTGCTCTGCCCACCTCAGCCTCCCAGAGTGTTGAGATTACAGGCATGAGCCACTGTACCTGGTCTGAGTAATGCTGAGATGTTTGGCTGTAGTTTGAAGGCTTAGGTATGGAACAAATATGTTGAAGAAGTGGAGGGTTTTCTCCATTATAATATTCTTAGACGTTAACAGCATACTTCATACATGCTTAGTCCCTCCTTAGTAACATATAGAGATCTTTCTAAGTTCTTTAGTCTTTTGGACTCTGTAAAGTCTTTATGTTCAGTTTATATTGAAACTTGCCTCTTAGAATGTTCATGAAGATCTGGTATGCTAGAATTTGAGGAGCAAATTTTTAATCATTCTGTCCAAAATATGTGATGATTTTTCTTAGAATACACTGTTTTGGCTGGACACGGTGGCTCATGCTTATAATCCCAACACTGGGAGGCCAAGGTGAGAGTATTGCTTGAGCTCAGGAGTTTGATACCAGCCTGTGCAAAAATAAAAATTTTTAATTTAAAAAAAAAGAGTACACTTTAATTTTCCTTCCAGATTGTTGTTGTTCAGACTTATTTTATTCCCTTGATCATTTTCATACGCCTCTTTTTCTCAGTCCTTTTATCTTTGCTTTGGTTCATCAACCAAAACTATTATTCACAGATGGGGAATAAACGGTGGAATTCCTTAGAAGCACCGGATTCAGTTTTGTTTCCTTGGGACTTAAAGTCTACTTATATCAGATGCCCTTCATTTTTTGATAAACTCGTAAGTACTATTTCACTATTTGATCTTTTAAAGATTATAAACTAAGAAGTCTTATAAAGAGTTAATGCCTTGAACCTTTTACCTTCTAGACCAAAGAGCCAGTTGCACTCCAGCCTATTGAAAATGCCCATGTCTTATTATATTTGGGAGACTCTGTCACAACAGATCATATATCACCTGCAGGAAGTATCGCTAGGAATAGTGCTGCTGCTAAGTATTTGATGAACAGAGGGTATGTGTACATGGCTTTAAAATGCTTTTGTTTTTTTCTTGTTTCTCACTAAGAGGCTTCTATTGGTCATGTTCATTTTTCCATTAAATACACATTATCGTAGGTATCTGACTGCCAGTGTTGTTTGTCTTAAGCAAGAATGGAGAATGGCAGGGGAACCTGTTGCACCTGTCTTTGCTTATGACTTTAGAAAATGAAATTGAAATTTTAAATTGAGCCCTTATAGTCTAAATAAACAACTGATTGGAATAAGATTTTTTTTTTCAGTGCTACTTTATTGAAAAGTCAGCTTTGTTTGACCTTCCACATGAAGCCTACTCATTTGGTTAAAACCAGCTTCCCATTATTGGCATAAGGAATTTAAATGTGTATTTTATGGGCTATAAAATGTACATGTGTGAGGCTGGGAATGATGTGTATCAAATCAAAAGACAATTTCCTGCTTCATGAGCCTAAAATTTTATAGGAACAATAAATGTAAAGGCCATTTATATTGGAGATCTAAATTTAAAACTGGTAAGATTTTATTTCATTTCTACATTAATCATGTAGAGTTGCTCTGTTATCAAAGCACTGTTTTGACAACAAAGACAAAGTTTTGCTAAAAGCAGAATTTGTAATACTGCTACCTGATTAGCTTATTGGATGGATACTTGTTTGATGATGGAGTAATTAAAATGACAAGCTTTTTCATTAAAATGTTTTTTGTTTTGTTTTTGAGACAGTCTTACTCTGTCGCCCAGACTGGAGTGCAGTCGTGGAATCTCAGCCCGCTGCCACCTCTGCATCCCAGGTTCAAGCGATTCTCCCACCTTAGCCTCCCAAGTAGCTGGGATTACAGGCACGTGCCACGATGCCTGGCAAATTTTTGTATTTTTAGTAGAGATGGGGTTTCACCATGTTGTCCAGGCTGGTCTCAAACTCCTGACCAAGTGATCTACCCACCTCGGCCTCCCAAAGTGCTAGGATTACAGACATGAGCCACTGTGCCCAGCCAAAATGTCATATAAATATCAATACGATATAGCTTGTCTTGAAATGTGATAATACTGCATAGCTTTCATTATAGAGTGGTGAGAAATAAGTTTTCTTTCCCATAAATATTTTTTGTTGTGATTTCCATCTTGGTCATAATTGTGACATACTTCCAGAAAAAAAACCATTCAACATTTCTCTCAAATGCACAATTTTTGTAATTATTATGCTTTCTGGTATGTATTTCTTAGCACATTTAATCCGGTAGTTCTCATCAATTAAAATTTTCTAAAAATAAAGACACTCAAACCTCCTACCGCTCCCATCCTGAAGTAAGAACTGTAAAGGTACAAATTTAGAGTATAAAAAACCAAATCAGAGGCTGAGAAGAGTCGATTGTTGATTGTTGAGATACTTAGTTTGTTATTTTTCCCTAAAAAGTTATATAAGGTTACTAATCCAGTAGCAATGAACACTCTTAGTACCCAGATTATGATTTCTAAATACTGTTTCCCAGTGCCTTGAACCAGTGCTTCATGAAGAAATTGAATCCAGATCTGGGACTGGAAAATGTACATGATTTTGCCAAAAATTACCAAGATTACCAAAAACAAGGGAGCTGTCAGAGACCACTAGGCTTCTGTCAAAAGATCTTAGGGGCAGAACCAGCTCATTAGTTTGAAAACTGGTAAATAATCAGTTCTTTAACCAGCGTTTCTTATATGGAATGTATTTCAGCATAACCAAATCACTGATGAAGGAAAGTTTGTCTTTTGTTTGTTTCTGGGGTTTTTTTTTTTTTTGAGACAGTCTCACTCTATCGCCAGGCTGGAGTGCAGTGGCACGATCTTGGCTCACCGCAACATCTGCCTCATGGGCTCAAGCAGTTCTCCTGCTTTGGCCTCCCAAAGTGCTGGTATTGCAGGCATGAGCCACCATGCCTGCCAGAAAGTTTTTCTTTATAGTTTTCTAGCTAAAAAATGAAGAAGGAATGATTGAATTATAGTATCACTATTTTACAGTCTCTAATAAAATAAGCAATCTAGACCACAGTGAGCAATCACTGGTAACATTCCAGGAAAAGACAATTGTCTATCTTGTGTCTCCTAATAGAAGTAGGTATGACCTATGAAGCATTGTTGCCAAAAATTAAAAACTCAAATCTTACCAAGCCACTGGATCTGACATCTGGTTTACAAGAACAGAACGTAGAGAAAAATGTTAAATGATCCATGGAGAAGCAGTCAACAGTATCTGGGTACAGAAAACTCTCTATACAAGTGACGCCATTTCTTCAGATAGAGCACAAGCAGGAAGAAGGAGAGGGAACATATGTCACCAATCCTCAGTGTAGATGTGGCATTGGTTCCAGGACCACCCATGCATACCCAGTTCCACAGATACTGAATTCCTACAGTAAATCCTGTAGAAGCTGCATGTATAAAAAGTCATATATGCAGTTTTCTGCATCCTGTGATGAATACTGTATTTTCTGTCAGCATTTGGTGGAAAAAAAATCCATGTATAAGTGAACCCACACAACTAAAATTTATGTTGCTTAAAGGTCAACTGTAGATTAAAAGACTTGAGGTCAACTGAACGTATTAATTAACTGCATTTGAATCAACCAACTTATAAAAAAATAGTTTGGAAATAATCAGTGACATTTGAATATTGACTGACTATCTGATGTTAAGAAATTATTATGTTTTTTTTTGTATAAAGATTTTTAAGAGTCTACATCTTTTAGTGAAATACTGAAATGTATGCTGTTAAAATATATCTCAGTTTTGCTTTAGAATAATCTAATGGGGTTGACTGTAGAGAAACAAAGAATCCGTAAGATACAGCTTGGTGATGGGTGCGTGGACATTCATGGTTTTGGTTTTTTTATTCATGTTTGAAATTTTCCATGATGAAAAAATATTTTTTAACAAGTTTTACAACTCAATAATACGTGATTATTTTCCATACGTAATGAAAACTGACTTTCATTACTTTCTTGTAGCCTTACCCCTCGTGAATTCAACTCTTACGGAGCTCGAAGAGGTAATGATGCTGTAATGACAAGAGGCACTTTTGCAAATATCAAGCTTTTTAATAAGTTTATTGGAAAACCAGCTCCCAAAACAATTCATTTTCCATCAGGACAGACGGTGAGGATGTACACAGAGTATTTAGACAGTTTCTAACTGGATCAAAATTTGTATTAAAGATTTTTGTGTTTGTTTTAATCTACAGCTAGATGTATTTGAGGCTGCAGAGCTGTACCAGAAAGAAGGTATCCCACTGATTATTTTAGCAGGAAAGAAATATGGTTTCGGAAACTCCAGAGACTGGGCTGCCAAAGGACCATATTTACTGGTATCGAATCTTAACATTTATCATTTTAAGCTTCAGAGAGTGTTAAGTGTTCCCTTTTGTCAGTAACATCCTATCAAAGCTTACTTGGATTTAGATTTTTTATAGTTATTTAAACCTTACAGGTATAGAGTGTTTTTTTTTTTTTTTTGTGATCTTAGGTAATCTTTTGTACTCATCTAGTTAGTATCATTTTAATACTCTTGAGTTTGGTTAAACCTACATCAGTCTTGGTGAAGAAGTCAGTATAGTAGAAGGAAAGGAAATTCTAGCTTGGTTTGGTTTGGTTTTTTTGAGATGGAATCTCGCTCTGTCACCCAGGCTGGCATGCAGTGGTGTGATCTAGGCTCACTGTAACCTCTGCCTCCCTGGTTCAAGTGATTCTCCTGCCTCAGCCTCCTGAGTAGCTGGGATTACAGGTGTTTGCCACCACACCTGGCTAATTTTTGTATTTTTAGTAGAGACAGAGTTTCACCCTGTCTTGAACTCCTGACCTCATGATCCACCTACCTCAGCCTCCCAAAATACTGGGATTACAGGTGTGAGCCACCACACTCAGCAGAAATCATTTTAAACTACTGTTTTATAATAATTATTTATACCTATTGATCATATTTCTTTTGGTTTTGAGATTGGGTCTCTGTCACCCAGACTGCGTGCAGGGGCTCGATCACTGCCACTGCAGACATGACTCATAGGTGCATCAATTCTCCCACCTTAGCCTCCCAAGTAGCTGGAACTACAGCCATGAGTCACCACACCTGGCCAATTTTTGTATTATTTGTAGAGATGGGATCTCCCTATGTTGCTTAGGCTGGTCTTTAACTCCTTGTTCCTCCCACTGCAGCCTCCCAAGGTGCTGGGATTACAGACTTGAGCCACTGTGCCCGGCCCCCACTGTTAGTTTTACTCGCCTTCTTTTGATTTAATTTTCTCCGATTTGCCCCATTAGCAGGTTCGAGACTCAGAAGTAGTGGGCCAAGTTTCACCTTTTTTTCCCCCTAAATAGAAGATTGTGGTGCCTGGCTGTCTGCTAGGAGAACAGTTCTCCTGAGACTGTTTCCTTGAGGCCATCTGCTGGGAAAAATAGTCATTTGACATGTGCTTTCTGCTATTTCATACTCACAAGTGCTTCTCTTTACAATTGTAGCTATTAAAAGGCTGGCTGCAACACAGATATCATGTAGACCTCACTCTTACTTTAACCTTTAATTTCTCCTTTAAAATTATAAATACTCTGAGGGGTATGGGAATAAACCAAAATCACAGCCTTCTAACATACTAATTATAAGTATTATTTATGAGTATTAATGGTAGGTATAGGTTCCTTTTATCCTGGAAATTGTCATAGTCTTTGTTTCTGATGTTGGAAGCTTTCCGCATATGGCAGGTAATGCTTGGCTGTCCATTTGTTAGACATTAAAAAAAAAAGATTACAAGCTGTGGATGGGAGCTGGATTTGTCAGTTAGTGGACCTTACTATAGGTGATAGGTAGATAAGCTGCCTTTTTCATTAAGAGATTCTGTATGTCATTATCTGTATTTTCTCTGAGGCTGTTCAGCTTCTTCAAGGAAAGAGACTCATTCAGGATGTAGACTTCTACTTAGTCCTGTTTTCGGTGTCGTATTCTCAAGCTTCCCCTCTGCCCAGTGATTGTCAGTCTAGAGAATGTATTCTCTTCGTTATTTCCGCTATCACAAAAAAATAAGTAAAAAAAAATTTTTTTAAAGGGGTGATGGCACTCCCAAGGAACAAAAGTTGGTTCTTAGGTGGTAAAAAAAAAAGTTTTACTTTTTACATATAAAATACAGACAAATATAGAGTACATAAAAAGATACGTGGCATCTTAGTGGTATTAAACTTTTGGAGAGAAGGGGGTGAACAGGAAGACACTATTATGGAAAAATGTCTAAAAAGGCTTTTTAGGTAGACAGTGGAGAAAAAAGTTGAAAAACAGAAGTCTAGAGCCTTTGGCTCATTTTTTCCAGAGAATAAACCTCTATTCTTCTGGAGTGGGGATTGAGCTGGATCTTACTGCTTTATGTGGCCTTATAACCTGTATCCCCCCAGTATTCTGAGAACCTCATACCTCTGAATCTCAGTCCTTTTCCTGGGTCCTGCATTGCACATTAACTCAGACCTTATTGGCGTTGCTCCCTAATTTCATTTCATCATTCTCTAGTTTCAACATTGTCATCCAAATCAGTTACCTGTCTTCTAAATATTCATAGAATTCACTCATTCTATTCCCTTTGTTGCTCTGGGCTTATACCCTCTTTATTATTGTTGTTATTTATTTATATATATTTTTGGAGACATAGTCTCACTCTGTTGCCCAGGCTAGAATGCAGTGGCATGATCTCACCTCCCTGCAACCTCCACCTACCAAGCTCAAGCAATTCTCCTGCCTCAGCCTTCCCAGTAACTGGGATTATAGATTATTTTTCTGAATTTCTGAATTTTTATGGAGCTCCCTAAAATATTCTGACCTCCCCTCCGCTGCTACCACATCCAGCTAATTTTTGTGGTTTTAGTAGAGACTGGGTTTCACCATGTTGGCCAGGCTGGTCTCAAACTCCTGGCCTCAAGTGATCTGCCCACCTTGGCTTTCCAAAGTGCTGGGATTGCAGGTTTGAGACACTGCATCCAGCCTATTGTTATTTTTTAATTTTATTTATTTATTTATTTTTATTTTTTGTAGAGACAAGGTCTCAGTATATTTCCCAGGCTGATCTCAAACTCCTAGCCTCAGCCTCCAAAGTGTTGGGATTATAACCATATAAGCCACTGCACCTGGCCCCATATACCTTCTTTATTCCTTTATTTCAGTTTCATTTCAAGAGTGTTGAATGTTTCATCTGCTGTGTTTAAGTAGAAATTCTCCTGAGCCCTATTTTAGGGTCAAAGGAGCCAGCCCATTTACAGAGCTCTTATGATGTGGTAAGCAGCGGTAGTACCTAACCCTAGAGCAGTGGAGGGGGTCAGAATAATTTAGGGCGCTCCATAAAAATTCAGAAATTCAGAAAAATAATCTATAAAAAGCTTCTGTAAATACTTTGATAGAACATTGATTGAATATGAGGTATTAGACTAAAAGTGTTTAGAGAAAGGCCAGAGTAGATTTTTCTCCCCCTTTAAATGCTCAGTAAATAACTTTCAGAAGGAAAGTTATGGAGGAAATAAATGCACATTTGTTACAGGGTGTGAAAGCTGTTTTGGCTGAAAGTTATGAAAAAATACACAAAGATCATTTGATTGGAATTGGCATAGCTCCACTTCAGTTCCTTCCAGGAGAAAATGCAGATTCCTTGGGCCTCTCCGGTAGAGAAACATTTTCTTTAACATTTCCTGAAGAACTGGCTCCTGGAATTACATTGAATATACAGGTATCTCTAAAATTTTCAAATATGATTATGCACTCTACTCAGATGTTTATGAATTGATTAAGAATCAATTGCTGTAAATTATATACTAATGTCACTTAGAGAATGTTAAGTTGCCATTTAAAATGACTCTTTCCTTCATACTTAGATCTATGTTAATAATAGTTGGTGTTCTCTGAGGAAAAGTGGAAAGAACTAGATGCTTACACCAGAAAAAAAGAATACGTGGAGGGTAATCTTGACTTCCGCTTAACAAGTGTCAGCTTCCTTTTCATGGTTTTCAGTTTTTGCTGTCCTGATCTAATTTTAACCCAGGTATATATACCACTCCAAAGAGAAGGCAAAGTTGAACTTACAAGGGTAGAGCAGCACAGACTTTACAACTAAGAAAAAAAGGGAAAAGAGTAGGAGTTACTCATTATAGGCAGTGGATATTTGGTGTAAAACAAATATGAGTAGTGAGTATAACTTCCCCAATTAATAAGTCAAAATCTAACTGCAACTGTTTTTCTACTTAGCTATGAAGCCCATGGTCAGGTATCTCAGGTGTTTTTCAAGCAGCAGAAAAGTTTCAGGCAATCAGAATATAGGAAATTAGAACCAGGAGAAATCAGACAGACTATGGGGCAAGTATAGTCATTGAATGTGAAGACAGATGGTCTTAACCATCGAGTAGCACCTGGAAGATTTACGTGCTCACTTAAGATGTTTTTGTTTCTTTAAAGACAAGCACTGGAAAAGTATTCAGCGTGATTGCTTCGTTTGAAAATGATGTGGAAATAACATTATACAAACATGGAGGATTATTAAACTTTGTGGCACGAAAATTCTCATAGTATCTACTTACCATGGATACCTTTCATAACTGGTAACTGCAAAGCCTTTTGTGCTGGACCCAGGAATCCTTACCATGGAGCTGCAGATAGTCCCAGTATACTCACTTCTCTCATCCATGGATGTACATGATGATGAATCAACGTAGTGACTGAAAAGAAATCTTCTTGATTTTAAATAATTTACGAATGGTGCTATTAACATTGCTAAAATCAACGTGTGAAGTGTGTTGTGGAAGAGACCTGTAAGTATGGGGGGGGATATTTTATCAGACCATTTTGTAAATAAAGGCAGAATTCGTGTTGAAGATTCTTATATGAGTAACCTTCCTGGAGTTGTTTAGTTTTGCACCTATAAAACTGTGTACTACTGTTTGTTGGTTTAAGAGTAGCAGACTGAAATATAAGAAGCCAGATTAGACTCTAAAATTGTGGTTATTGGACTCTGATTTGTAAGTGGACCTTGAAAGTATATTAATTCCTTTTCAGAACTGAGCTGGACATATTTGGCATTCTTAGTTTGTCATATACCAGGTTTATCCTTAGTTACACTGCAAGGGATAGAACCTGCCCCAAGTCACAATCATTCTGTCCAATCCAGCCAAGGTTCCTTCCACATATGAAGATGGACCATGGCAAAATACAGCTGATTGTGTGGCACCATGTATTAGTAGTGGAAATATGTATCACATAAGATGCAGCCTTTAATTTTTCAGCAGTTTGCCACTGTGACTATCTGGCAAGCCCCCAGATGGCATTATATTAATTGGATTAGATTATTTTGCTCACCTATGTAATACTGTAACTTCTTACAACCTAGTATTTTCAGTATCATTAACCAAAATTTCACACTCATAGTTGCTAAAGAGAATGTTATTTAGTCATTAAACTCTGAACTGGTTTCTTGTAGGCATTTAAATAATCCACCCTTAATTATACGGATGTTCAACCCTATGCATTTTTTAAGTGTGGCTATTTCTTGATTATTTAAATTGATTTCCTGTCATTTTGAATCATTTATCACCTGCGATGCATGACTCTATTAATTTTGTTATGTTACTGTTTTAACCAAAGCTGACCATAAGGATAAAACACTTAAGTTGTTGCTGAGTACCGTATATCCTCAATATGCATGTCTGCCCGTCACATAAAATGTTCTGTCAACAAGATGGTTGGCTTTTTTTTTTTTTTTTTAAGACAGTCTTGTTTTGTCACCAGGCGCCAGGCTGGAGTGCAGTGGTGCAATCTTGGCTCACTGCAGCCTCCAATTCCGGGTTCAAGCAGTTCTCCTGCATCAGCCTCCCGAGTAGCTGGGATTACAGGCGTGAACCACCATGCCCAGCTAATTTTTGTATTTTTTAGTAGAGACGGTGTTTCACCATGTTGACCAGGATGGCCTCGATCTCTTGACCTGGTGATCCACCTGCCTCAGCCTCCCAAAGTGCTGGGATTACAGGCATGAGCCACTGTGCCCAGCTGGCAATTTTTTTTTTAAAGGTTGGAAAATTAATTATGGAAGGTTCTATATACTGTTGTTTTTTTTAAACCTAGCAGGCTAAAGGTTAATTGTAGTGATTTGTTTTTCACATGGAGATCTTTCTATGACCTAGTTAAGTTACTGCAATTCAGAATTAATTCACATTACATAAAGAATTACTTCTTTTAAGTAAATGCTGAAACTACCAAACCAGTGGATGAAGACCGCTGAGAACTTTGCACATAATCATACAATCTTTTGAAAATATTTTGCAAATATGTGTTTAGACAATAAGATGGACTAGAATTTGACAAAATGATTTCTTTATTTAAATTTTTTATAAGTATTTTCTTTGTTACTTTCAAATTATATTGTGTTCTTGATATATGCTGTGTGTGTATTTGTCATTGCATGTGTTTTTAATTTACATGAAAACATGAGTTAGGAGAAATTACAAGTTGAATGATAAAATACCTGTATGAGCTCTTAAGAAATAGTAATTCCAGATTGTGTAGGGGAAACAAATCTATATTGTTTTGAAAGCATACTCTGTACAAGTTATGGGCAGAAGCACAGGCATCCTCAGCAGCTGATTTGGGAGATGATGGTAAAGCTAGCTAACTATGAATTAAATATTCACATATCCAGTCTACTTAGTCCAGTAATAATACAAGCAAATCTTTTATTTCAGGAACAAATCAAGGTTCTCTTAATTTTTTGGTTTGTATACAAGGAGGTAAAAACTTGATAACATGGTTTTAAATTAAGGAGGAGAGTCATGGATGTGTGTTTTGATATATTTACCTTATAATTCTGCCTCTAGCCATATGCTGTGTTTGCAAAATGTGGCATCTGTTAGTTTTCATTGTCTATATCTTCTTTGTTGACTATATCTGGGTAACTTTGTGTTACCCAAAAAATAAGAACGCATAATGTGAGACACATAAGAAAAAAAATCAATGTTGTGAGCTTAAAGTACAATTTCAAAGGTCATTACCAATGCAGCATTTTTTATACTTTAAAAACATTATGCTACATATATTGCCATCTTTATGTTTTGTTACTCTTATACAATGAAATCAGTGAAAATGTTCAGCCACTGAACTGCCATTATTATATCTAAAAAGTTTTTAAGATGACAGTTGTCACTATTTTCTCCATGCTGATATTTGAAAGAAGATGGTGGAAGGTCCTAGAATCTCTCTAGCCAGATGGCTCAGTTTTTCCTTGGTAATCAGACAGCAGTTGTATTAAAGGAAAGTAAGGCTAAGACCTAAATCAGAATCCTAGTTGCCTGCATATATGGTAACAATGTTGTGTACATTTGCTTTCTCGGTGATGAGTGAGAGGATGAGGAGAAATTATTTGACTGACATTTTCCTGTGGTTGAATAGAAGACACCTTTCTTTTGTCTTTAGGTTTAGGAGAAGATACTAAGATACTGGATGTTTATTCTGTCTTAGTCTGATTGGAGTAATAAGAGAGAAGAAGAGGATGGACTTTGGCTTTTTCAGTGTTTTTTGCCCCTAAAGGGTGATACTGCTGATGTTTCTATCAATTTTACACATAATATGTGGCTATGAAACCATATATCTCACTTAAGTAACTAAAAATCATTGTTTATTATTTAAAGCCAACAAAACAGTATAACAGTTTTAAGTTCAATAATGTTAAGTATTGTATAGAAATAATATTGGAGGCAAAGTTCAGTTGATGACAATTGTGTATATGTTACTGATGCTGTAAATTATTTTTAATAAAGAAAATTGTATTATCACATTTGATTCTTGTTATATTTTATAGTAGTATGGGACAGGTGAGGTGGTTCACTCCTGTAATCCCAACACTTTGGGAAGCCAAGGCAGGAAGAGGATCACTTGAAGTCAGCAATTTGACCCCACCTTGGAAAACAAAGCAAGACCATATCTCAAAAAAAAAAAAAAAAAAAAAAAGCTTGATGTGGTGGTGTGCACCTGTAGTCCCAGCTACTTGGGAGGCTGAGGCAGGAGGATTGCTTGATCCTAGTTTGAGGCTGCAGTGAGCTGTGATTATGCCACTGCACTCCGTCCTGGGTGACAGAGCAAGGTCTTGTCTCTTAAATAAGTGTGTTGTCACTGTGAATTTTGTGTTTACTGCATTGTAAGCATTTTTTTTTCAATATTTCCCTATCATTCTGTTAATATCTATATGATCCTGTGACAGGATCCTGTTTTATTACCAATATTGGTAACTTGTGTTTTCTTATTTTTCTTCATCAGTCTTTCTCAGAGGTTAGAAATTGAATTAATTGTTTAAAGAGCCTTTTTTTTTTTTTTTTTTTTTTTTTTTTTTGAGATGGAGTCTCACTGTGTCACCAGGCTGGAGTGCAGTGGCACAATCTCCGCTCACTGCAACCTCCGCCTTCCGGGTTCAAGCGATTCTCCTACTCAGGCACATGCCACCACACCCAGCTAACTTGCATTTTTAGTAGAAACGTGGTTTCACCATGTTGGCCAGGGTGGTCTCGATCTTCTGACCTTGTGATCCACCCGTCTCGGTCTCCCAAAGTGCTGGGATAACAGGCGTGAGCCAGTGTGCCCGTCCGAAGAGCCAGGTTTTTTTACATTAACTTATTTTCTCCATTGTTTTCTGGTTTGGGTTTTTTTTGTTTTGTTTTGTTTTGTTTTTGTTTTTGTTTTTTGAGATGGAGTCTCGCTCTGTTGCCCAGGCTGGAGCACAGTGGTGCAATCTTGGCTCACTGCAACCTCCACCTCCCGCATTCAAGCAATTCTCCTGTCTAAGCCTCCTGGGTAGCTGGAATTACAGGTGTGCACCACCATGCCTGGCTAATATTTAGTTTTGTATTTTCGTAGAGACAGAGTTTCACCATGTTGGCCAGACTGGTCTCAAACTCCTGACCTCAGGTGATCGGCCCTCTCCAGCTTCCCAAAGTGCTGGGGTTACAGGCGTGAGCCGCCACCAGCCCAGCCTGTTTCCTGTTTTATTGGTTTCTGCTCTGAAATATTTCCTTTGTTACTTAATTTCCTCCTTTCCCCCAGCTTTGTAAAACTTTTTCTCCAATGTAAATGTAAATATTTAAATTTCCCTCTGAGCACTGCTTTAGCTGTAGCCTACTGTGGAGATTAAAGCCAATTTTAAACATTTTAAACAACTTGTAATTATAAAGGAAGTATCGTAAAATTGCTGAGCCGTTGTTTTATAATATAAAATCATCTCTATAATCTGTGTAAACTGTTCATTTTGTTTCACTCCAGTTTATCACTGAGCTATTTTTTTTTATAATTATAAAAATAGAGGCAGGGTCTCACTGTGTTGGCCAGGCTGGTCTTGAACACCTGGCCTCAATCAGTTCTCCCATCTCAGCCTCCCAGACTGCTGGGATTACAGGCCTGAGCCACCATGACCAGCCACTGAGCTGTCTTTGAGAGCCACTACTTAAAGTGGTCCAGTAGCCAACTGAAGAAGCATTAATACATTGTACTAAATAAATAAATTACTTTTTTCCCGTTTAGAGACGGATCTCACTATGTTGCCTAGGCTGTCCTCGAACTCCTGGGCTTAAGTACTTTTCCTGCCTGAGCCTCCTGTAATAGCTGGGACTACAGACATGATAACACCAGCATGCCCAATGTAAAATGACGTATCTTGCACATTGGTGGAACTTGTAAAAATCATGATAGCCAATGTTGGTATTATCGAGAGGAAAACAAGATTTGGCAACACGTATTAAGAGGCTTAGGCCGGGTGCAGTGGCTCATGCGTGTAATCCCAAGACTTTGCAAGGCTGAGGCAGGAGGATCACATAACCCAGGAGTTCAAGACCAGCCTGGGAAGCATGGCGAAACCCATCTCTACAAAAAATTAGCCGGGCGCAGTGGCGCGCCTGTAGTCCCAGCTACTCCTGAAACAGGTGGGCGGATCCTTTGACCCCAGGAGGCAGAGGCTGCAGTGAGCCAAGATGGTGCCACTGCATTCCTGGGTGACAGACTGAGAGCCTGTCTTAAAAAAGCTTTAAAGGTGTTTATTCTCTTATACATAGTAGTATGATGCTGAGCAGTTTAAACACGTCATTTAAAATTTACAAAAGATTTATGTATGAGGATGTTTTTAAAAACAAGGAAATGCTCACTTAAAGTGAAAAGGGCAATTTACAAAGTACTTTTTGTATTCTTTTTGAGACGGAGTCTTGCTGGGTCGTCCAGGCTAGAGTGCAGTGGTGCAATCTCAGCTCTCTGCAACCTCCACCTCCCAGGTTCAGTCAATTCTCCTGCCTCAGCCTCCTAGTAGCTGGGTTTACAGGCATCCACCACCACGCTCGGCTAATTTTTGTATTTTTAGTAGCGATGGGGTTTCATCATGTTGTCCAGGTGGGTCTCAAACTCCTGAGCTCAAGTAATCCACCCCCACTGGCCTCCCAAAAAGCTGAGATTACAGGCGTGAGCCACCTCGCCCTACCAAATACAGTATTTCTAAAGAATTCAGGGAGTGTAAACAGGCACATTCCAAAAAGGGCAGTTGTGGATCCAGTAGCCCTGCCCCCAGTTGTCACAATTTCCAGATTCAGCCTTAATTCCTGTTCCCTGATGCACAAGAAATAGAAAAAGAGACCAATAGAGGTGGAATAATGAGAGGTGGAAGTAATTGAGAAGCCACTTGAGGGAAAAAGCACGCAGAGAGGCCTAAGGGAGCTGGATTCCAATTCTGATTACAGAAAATCCAAATTGAAATCACTCTGACAATCTAAATGAATGAGATACTGTGTTCCCCTGGGGTTATGAAAAACAGGCCTGCTTTTTGGTGATTGGAAGTGAAGCAGGTAAAACTATTGAAAGCAGGGGAAGAAGCTTCTCTCTCAGTAAGTGGTTGATATGGGTTTGGGAATCATCCAAGTCAATCAGGGTGACTAGATAACCCGAGTGTGTGATATCCTGACAGAAAACAAAGGGTGGATGTGCATCGGGAAAAGCAAAATACCAAGTTGCAGGCATGAGTGGACCAGTGCCCAGGACTCTTCCAGGAGCCTCCAGTAGATAGAGTGCTCCCACTTAGCGGAGAAGTCCTGCTTGGCTGGAGAAGGGCATCAAGCTGTTTATCAGGGTCTCATGCCCTTGACAGTTAAGAACATCCAACTAACCTGGCTCTTACCCCATGAATCTCGTATAGCCTTCTGAAAATCATGGGGTCTCTGCGGACTTTACCGCAGAAAGAGCCCACTGACTGCACTACCTACATGAAGAGTCTGACCCAATCACCAGTTATATTTCTCAGTGTAAATGAATGATTCATTCATTCACAGGAGACCCGAACCGTGGTGACCCCAGCCCCCTGGAAAGCCTGTTGGGGTTGGGGGCGGGGGCTTCACTCTCCCTACACACCTATTATCTTGAATTAAATGGTTTGGGAAGAGAGGGGAAAACTAGTGCTGTGGCAAGAGCCTAAACTGGGAGCAGGGTGACCAGCGTCTGTTGAGGCTCTATGACCGCTATGTTTCTCGTTTCGTGTCAGTACTAGGAGCTAGTATACCTACTGGAAAAATAAGACCGTTCGGGTTTTTTTCTGTTTTGTTTTTTTTGAGACGGAATCTCACTTTGTTACCTAGGCTAGAGTGCAGTGGCGCAATCTGCTGACTGCAACCTCAGGACCCTTGCAGTTCCTCGGGGTGGGATGGGGTCGAGTCTCCCTGGGGCCACGTTTTCCAAAGGTGGCCTCCAGGATACATGCATCCAGCGGAAGGAGGGAAGGCTGGGAAACAAAAACGTGGATGTAGGTGAGCAGCTGTCAGTGTTGCCACCACCACTACGTGGACCCGGGGGAACTCCGATATGCCACTCAAGAGCCGAAAGCCCGCCCACTCGGGGGTGGGGCTGCAACCCAAAGAGCCAATCTGGAATAAGAAGCCAAGTTCTTGAAAACGTAGCCGGATTCGGACTGGGATACTCACCATGAGAAGGCGGGGCAGGGTTACAGAAAGCCAATCAGAAGCCCGATCTCGGAATTCCTGTTCGCAGCCTCCGAGGCGGGACCGGGAAGAGACCCGGTCTCCTGCTCTACCTCTCAGCGCGGTTGTTGGCCCGCGGCCACAGTATCCAGCTGCTGGAGAGCGGGATCAACCCCAGGACGTCGGGTTGCTGCCGGTGAGACGAGGAGGGGAGAGCAGAGACTAGCCCCGCGACCCCGCGGCGGGGGTCAGGGGGCGCCCCCAAGGGCAGGGAGGCTCGCTGCGGGTGTGGAGCCAGGAGTCCTGGGCCTCAGGCTTCCCCAGCTCCCCTCAGCTCGCTGCGGGCGTGACGGGCAAGTCACCCTCCTCCCCGGACCTCACCTGTAACCCAGGAGGGAGGTCTGGGACCCCAGACTGAAGGCGTGGCACTGAGAGGCTGTCAAGGCCAGCCCCGCCTGGCAGATGTCTACTGGGAGCAGTCTCTCACTCCACAGGACCTCATGATAACTCTGCGAACCCGACTCACGCGCCCTCCTCTTCTCTTTTCCTGCTCTTGGTTCAGCAATCCCTCTGCAGCCCGCTCACCCACCACTCTTTCCCTTTCACCCACTAGGAAGACTCTTAAAAGCACCTAGTAATGCATTGTTGTCTTTGCAAAACTGCGGATGCTAGATTCCCCGCCTTTCTGTTTGGTGATCCCCGTGGGACTCCCTTTCTGTTTCGTGAACCGCCCCATGGGTCTGTGGAGTGAAGGTCACCCTTGGTTCATCATTTAATATTAAATAAGGGACTAGCTTAGGGGCTGAGAATACAGAGATTGACTGGGTGTAATCCCTACAGCAAAAGGGAATGTAGGAGAAGAAAGGTGTGGAGTTGGAAGACATGCAAAGGTAGAATTTACTAGACGTTGGGAGTGAGGGACAGGAAGGAATCAAGAATGACTCCTGTTTCTTGTCTGGTATACCTTGCACAAAGTACAGAGTTTAAGGTCCAGTCCCCCTGGCTGTAGGACAAAGGTGGTGAGATTCTTGTGCAGACAGTTGGAAAACACTTGCTTCCTGCTGGCTCTTTTAGGAGCTAAAATACTGTTGGCTAGACATACAGACCAATGACCTATAGGACCTGAATTCCTCCTCTCCCTCTGAATGAAGTAGGAAAAAAAAATTAATTTTTTAAAATTCGTGAGTGGACAACATAGTGAGACACTGTCTCTTTAAAAAAACAAAAAGGAAAAAAACGACAGTCACGATGGCTTGCACCTGTAATCCCAGCACTTTGGGAGATCAAGGTAGGAGGATTGCTTGACCCCAGAAGTTTGAGACCAGCCTTGGCAACATAGTGGGATCCTGTCTCTTCAAAAAGTAAAAAAAAAAAAAAAAAAAAAAGCCAGGCATGGTGGCACCTGCCTGCAGTCCCCCAGGTACTTGAGAAGCTGAGGTGTGAGGATCCCTTAAGCCCAGGAGTTGGAAGCTGCAGTGAGCAATGATGGAGCCATTGTACTCCATCCAGCCTGGGTGACAGAGAGACACCCTGTCTAAAAAAAAGAAAAAAAAAAAAAAAGAATCCCCTCTATTCAGAGGAGACATTTGATGAAGACAGACATGTCTGATAAACATATTTTTTCTTTTTTATTTACTTTCAGGAGTTGACTTGAGACTTGATCTGTGCTATTAGTTCTATGATTTGGAGTCCTTGGTTTGTTTTTTTTTTTTTTTTGAGACGGAGTTTCGCTTTTGTTACCCAGGCTGGAGTGTAATGTCGCGATCTCGGCTCACCGCAACCTCCGCCTCCTGGGTTCAGGCAGTTCTCCTGCCTCAGCCTCCTGAGTAGCTGGGATTACAGGCACGCGCCACCATGCCCAGCTAATATTTTGTATCTTTAGTAGAGACGGGGTTTCACCATGTTGACCAGGATGGTCTCGATATCTTGACCTCGTGATCCACCCGCCTCCGCCTCCCAAAGTGCTGGGTGGGATTCAGGCTTGAGCCACCGCGCCTGGCGAAGGCAAACTTAAAAGAAAGAACTTTAGAGGCACAGAATACTAGAGCTAGAGGGGACTTATATTAATCATCTAGTCCAACTCGGTTTTAGAGGAAACATGACTAGTCTGCAAGTTTCAGAGGTTAGGTAGTAGAGCTGGGACCAAAATATGTCCTATTTCTCCCAACACAACTTTTTATTGCCTAAGTCTCTTTGGATGGCCAGCCCTGACAACCTTGCTTTTTCACAGCTTGGAAAACAGAGCTCTCCAAACAGGAGCTTAATGAATCAAAGATTTTATGGGAACATCTGGACTAGAAAAGAAATTGGTCTTCACCAGCTGCCTCTAAGTTTCCTTCCAACCTTAAAAACTTGTAATTCATGTCAAATTCAGAATTGTTCTGACATCTGTAACGCTTTGGGACTTGAGAATGACTCCAGGATTTCCTCTTGGAGTTAATGCTTCAATTCATATTACATTCTGAATACTTACCATGTATCAGTTTACATATCTCCAGAAGAAATGTTCAAATTCCGGCCAGCACAGTGGCTCACGCCTGTAATCCCAACTCTTTAGGAGGCCGAGGTGGGCAGATCACGAGGTCAAGATATCCAGACCATCCTGGCCAATATGGTGAAACTCCATCTCTATTAGTAAAAAATAAAAAAATTAGCTGGGTATGGTGGTGTGTGCCTGTAGTCCCAGCTGCTTGGGAGGCTGAGGCAGGAGAATCACTTGACCCTGGGAGGCAGAGGTTGCAGTGAGCCAAGATCACCATGGCACTTCAGCCTGGTGACAGAGCAAGACTCTGTCTCAAAAAAAGATAAATTCCTTGTCAAGTTTTGAGCCTAAATACCGTGTAACAGGATATGTTGGTTCCCAGAAGTTTCAAGTGCAAAAATTGTTTTGAAACTCCATTTAGGCTTTGTCACAATATCTTCAGTGAACAAAATCTGAATGCCTTAACTTGCTTCTGAAAGCAAAGGCCTGGTTAGAAAGTAAACAGGAAACATGATTGTCAAGAATGCATTGACTTGTAATAACAGGTGATGGAAACCGACCAGTGGCACAGCTATGCAAGTTTAGAGGCTGGAGCAATCACTTTGGGTGGGAGGATCAGGGAAGGCCCATGTGGCGGGGGAGTGGTTAGCATTTGAGGCTTACCTTTCCCTTCTTTTCTTTTTCTTTCTTTTTTTTTTTTTTTTTTTGAGATTGAGTTTCACTCTTTCACCTAGGCTGGAGTAAAGTAATGCAGTCTTGTCTCACTGCAACCTCCACCCCCTACCACTCCCCAAGCACCCCCACACCGTTTCCAGTGATTCTCCTGCCTTAGCCTTTGAGTGGCTGGGATTATAGGCACCTGCCACCATGCCCAGCTAATTTTTTTTTTTTTAATTTTTAGTAGAGATGGGGTTTTGCCATGTTGGCCAGGCTGGTCTTTAACTCCTTACCTCAGGTGATCCATCCACCTCGGCCTCTCAAAGTGATGGGATTACAGGCGTGCTCCCATCCTTGACCTACCCTTATTTTAACTTGAGTTGTTAGGCTATAGTTCTGGGACTGAGGCAGGGAGGGAGTCATACGTTAGATTTCTGGTGTATCTCCCTGAAAGTTATCCCCTTTTCCTCACTGGAGTTATGTGGGTTTTTGCTGTGAGAGCCAAAGAAATTAGGCATTAACAGGCATATGGTCTGATTTTTGGGAGTTCCAAGCAAGTCCTAAGTTTCACCTCCCTTGTTCTAGCCAATTTCTCAGAAGGGCTCTTTCTTTTTTAAAGAAAGAGTTGATATTCACAGATCTTACTAGTTCACTTAAGTTTTAAGTTTTGTCAAATGTAAGCCATGTAACCAAAGCCTAATCAAAATATAGAACACTTGCCAGTCAGAAAGTTCTCTCATGTCCCTTCTCCGTCAGAAGGAACAGATCCTCCATTTTCCACAAAAGCTAACCATTCATTCATTCATTCATTTTTAATAGAGAAGGGATCTCATTATATTGCCCAGACAAGTCTTGAACTCCTGGCGTTGAGTGATTCCCCCACCGCGGCCTCCCAAAGTGCTGGCTAGGATTACAGGTATGAGCCACTGTGCCCAGCCCATAGATTCTTTTTATATAATACTGCATCTCCTGAACAGCAATCAAAACATACCCTGCAATGCAATTCACCCTCAAGATGTTATCAATTATTTACAACTCAGTATGAAAGAAGCATTAGAACAAAACTATTTTGGGAAAACAAAATGAGATTGTAAGGACCTTACAGATTTGGGTTCCTGAAGGATGTTCAGAAACCCTATATTATCTTTCATATGTACCTGGATGCTCAGGAAATACACCAGGTATGGGTAGCAGAGGGTGGAATTACCAAGTGAAAGAAAACAGTCTCCTCCCTCCCCCATGTATCCAAATCATACTTAAAAATTCAAGGCCCAGTGTGGTGGCACATGCCTGTAATCCTAGCACTTTGGGAGGCTGAGGCGGACAGATTGCTTGAGCTCAGAAGTTTAAGACCAGCCTGAGCCTGGTCAACATGGTGAAAGCCTGTCTCTGCAAAAAAATACAAAAAATTAGCTTGGTGTGGTGGCCTGCTCTTGCAATCACAGCTACCCAGGAGGCTGAGGTTCAGGATCACTGAACCTGGTGGTTGAGGCAGCAGTGAGCCATGATCACACTACTGCACTCCAGCCTAGGCGACAGACCAAGACCTGGTTTCAAAAAAAATTCAACTTGGGCCGGGTCCAGTGGCTCACACCTGTAATCCCAGCAGTTTGGGAGGCTGAAGTGGGAGGATCACTTGAGGCCAGGAGTTCGAGACCAACCTGGGCAACAAAGTAAGACCCCCTCCCCCACCGCAAATCTCTAGCTTTAAAAAAAAAAAATCAAATCTGCCTTCTCAAGGATGTCTTCCTTAGGCTCTAGTAATTTCTCTCCCTCTCAGCTCTGTCACCATTTTGGCAGATATTAATTTCATAGGTCACAAACTCAAATGTAACTCTATTTGTAACTGACCTTAATTTTAAGCCCCTAGTCCTCTTAGCAGTGGAAAGCATATTCTTTATGCTTTTTTACAATTGAATGTAAACTCAGTCACTTAGTGTCAATTCAATCATTTCAGGTTAATACAGTGAGTTTTCTTTGGCTCTGTGGCCTTATCTCCTCCAGTGACTCATACAATACTTTGCTTATCAGTCTACATTTTTATTTTTGAAATATGTTATAAATTAGATGATGAGCCTTATAATTTAACCAAACTGTGACTATAAAAGATCACTGTATTTGAATTTATTGTTTAACCTACAATGGTAGGAATATAGTCAAAAGGACATAATCATGGATTAGAAGTCTGGAGAGCTGAATTCTTTTTTTGTGTGTGTGACAGAGTCACACTCTGTTGCCCAGGCTGGAGTGTACTGGTGTGATCTCGGCTCACTGAGCCTCGACCTCCCGGGTTCAAGTGATTCTCCTACCTCAGCCTCCCGATTAGCTAGGATTATAGGCACCCACCACCAGGCCTGGCCAATTTTTGTATTATTAGTAGAGACGGGGTTTCACCTTGTTGGCCAGGCTGGTCTCGAACTCCTTTCTTCAGGCGATCTGCCTGTCTCGGCCTCCCAAAGTGATTACAGGCTTGAACCACCAGGCCCAGCCCAAGAGCTGAATTCTTACTGTGACTTAATATGTAACTTTGGGCAAGTCACTTAACTTCTCAGGACCAAATTTTCCCCTATAAAATTGATGATGAGGAGGAGGGTTTGGATGAGGTGATACCAAGATGCTTTCCTGGTCTTTGTTTAGGAGGTAAGTTTAATAATTTGTCCTATAAGAATTTATATTCACTTGCCAAAACAACTTTTTTTTTAGACAGAGTTTGGCTCTTGTTGGCCAGACTGCAGTGCAGTGGTGTGATCTAGGCTCACCACAACCTCCGCCTCCCGGATTTTAAGCAGTTCTCCTGCCTCAACCTCCTGCATAGCTGGAATTATAGCATGCACCACCATGGCAGCTAATTTTGTATTTTCAGTAGAGATGGGGTTTTTCCATGTTGGTCTCGAATTAGCAACTTTAGGTGATCCACCCACCTCGGCCTCCCAGAGTGCTGGGATTACAGGCATGAGCCACTGTGCCCAGCCCAAAACATCGACTTCTTGATCTCATTCACTGATTTGATTTTTTTTTAACTTTATGAGTACAACTGAATAATCAAAAGAAGTATAGAATCAATAGAAACATGATTGGTCTGCCTTGAGAAAAATCATTTAAATAAATATATTCATCCTATATCCCCTTTCTGTTTGTTGCTTTTTGTTCCCCTAGACATAATGTCAAGTGGAAATGATCGGCAATCAGGGGCTCTTAGCAAACCCACTTTCAGTGAGGAACAAGCTTCTGCACTAATGGAGTCCGTGTTCGGGCTGAAAGCTTCCAGGGTCCAGGCACTTCCTAGCTATGATGACCAAAACTTTCATGTCTACATCACAAAAACCAAAGACAGCCCAACTGAATACGTCCTCAAAATAAGCAACACCGAGACTAGCAAGAATCCAGACCTGGTTGAAGTGCAGAATCACATCGTCATGTTTCTGAAAGCAGCTGGATTTCCAACAGCCTCTGTGTGTTGCACTAAAGAAGACAGCACAACTTCGCTTGTGTCTGTAGGTAAGAGACAACCGATCGCCGATCATCTCCTGTCCGTACATCACTGCATTTGGCCACAAGTAGAACCATGGAGAGCAGCTTCATAATTCCAAATGTAGATGTGGTTATTATTTTTTTAGCAACCTCAATAGTATACCTTTAGAGGTGTTGAGTTTTTCAGTATTAGGAGAAGCCTCAGCAGCATCAAAGTGGTGACTGGTCCTCTGAGTAGTGGTTAGAGCCCAGTGTTAAATCTTCTGTTCAGAAGGGCCCTGACAGATAGTCACTAAGGGGACCTGTGGAAATCAGGGGAACATTTTTTATTTTGCTTTTTGTTTGTTTTGTTGGTGGTGGTTTTGGGGGTTTTCTTTTTGTTTTGTTTTTTGAGACAGCGTCTCACTCTGTCACCCAGACTGGAGTGCAGTGGCGCAGTCACAGCTTACTGCAACCTTGAAGTCCTGGGCTCAGGTGATCCTCCCACTTCAGCCTCCTGAGTAGCTGGGACTACAGGCACACGCCATCATGCCCAGCTAATTTTGTAGTGTTTTTGTAGAGACGGAGTTTCACCATGTTGCTCAGGCTGGTCTTGAACTCCTGGCCTCAAGTGATCTGCCTGCTTCCCAAAGTGCTGGCGATTACAGGTATGAGTCACTATGCCTGGCCTGTTTTTATTTTTAAAAAATAAATTAAAAAATAATAATAAAATATATTTATTACTTAGAGAAGCTATACATTCTGGTGCTGTGGTATAGTAAAAATGGCATAATACTGGAAATCAAGAATTTTAGATTTCACTTTGTCATTACTGTATATGTGACCTTTGACACATAGACCACTTAAATCCCTAAGGCCACCAGTCCACATCTGTGAGACAGTCCCTTTCACCTTTAAATACCAAAATGCTAAGATGTACCAAATTCAGCTCTTTAAACAGCAGGCTAAAATCAATTTCTTCAAGTTTTTTAAAGGTTTGAAATCTTGATTTTCTTTTTCTCTCTTCATTGTTCACCATTCTTTCTTAATTTGCATTGCCCCAAACAGCTGAGGCCCACTGTGGTCCTTGAGACTTAGTTATTGTCCTGTGTTGCAAACACAGGCTGTCCCACAATTTACCCCTGAAGAAGCCTGATTCTGGAAGTCATTTATTTGTACCTCACTTCCGTCAACTGTGAACTTTTATAAAAGAGTATGTATTTTTGCATTCACCTACCACAGTAGGTAATTTTTGTGTAGAGCTAAGGCCAGCAGAGTTAAGGCTATAATTTTGTTCATATGTAAATGGCCAATTCCAATGTTCTTAAGGTTTGTGTATCCTACCTTCTCACTTGATCTGCTCAACTCTGCCTCACAGAATCCTGCTGAGTTGTTTCATGTTAGCACATTTTTTTGTTTTGTTTTTTAATTTCTGTTCTTTTCAGTAATACTTGCAAAGGCAGAATAGCTTCTAATTCTATTACATCTAATTATCTTTCTATCTATCTATCTATCTATCTTTAGAATAACTGACAGGATATTTCATTTCATCCATTTAGATAGTGGCTCTGAAATCAAAAGCTACTTGGTGAGGCTGCTGACTTACCTCCCAGGAAGACCCATCGCTGAGATTCCCATCAGCCCCCAGCTATTGTATGAAATTGGAAAGCTAGCTGCCAACTTGGATAAGTCACTGGAGGTAAGATTTGGGGTTTTATTTTATTCTAACGGATGTTGGTTTGTTTGTTTGTTATTTTATTTGAAAAATAAACTAAGAATCAGATTCTCTCTTTTTTTTTTGAGACGGAGTTTTGCTCTTGTTACCCAGGCTGGAGTGCAATGGCGTGATCTCGGCTCACCACAACCTCCGCCTCCTGGGTTCAGGCAATTCTCCTGCCTCAGCCTCCTGAGTAGCTGGGATTACAGGCACGCACCACTGTGCCCAGCTAATCTTTTGTATTTTTAGTAGAGACGGGATTTCACCATGTTGACGAGGATGGTCTCAATCTGTTGACCTCATGATCCACCTGCCTCGGCCTCCCAAAGTGCTGGGATTACAGGCGTGAGCTACCGCGCCCGGCCCTATTTATTTATTTATTTTTTGAGACAGGGTCTCACTGTCTCCCAGGCTGGAGTGCAGTGGTACAGTCACAGCTTAATGCAGCCTTAACTTCCCAGGCTTAACCAATCCTCCCACCTCAGCCTCCCAGGTAGCTGGGACTACAAGAGAGTGCCACCACACCTACCTAATTTTTGTATTTTTTGTAGAGACAGGGTTTCATCATGTTGCCCAGGCTGGTCTCAAACTCTTGAGCTCAAGTAATCTTCCCGCCTTTGCCTCCCAAAGTGCTGGGACTACAGACATGAGCTACCCCATGCCTAGCCAGGGGTTTGGTCTTTATATTAGGCCATTCTCACACTGCTATCAAGAAATACTGGGTACAGTGGCTCACGCCTGTCATCCCAGCACTTTGGGAGGCTGAGATGGGTGGATCACCTGAGGTCAGGAGTTCGAGACCAGCCTGACCAACAAGGAGAAACCATGTCTCTACTTAAAATACAAAATTAGCCGGGCATGGTGGCACATGCCTGTAATCCCAGCTAACTCTGGAGGCTGAGGCAGGAGAATTGCTTGATTCCGGGGGGCAGAGGTTGCAGCAAGCGGCGATCACTCCATTGCATTCCAGCCTGGACAACAAGAGTGAAACTGCATCTAAAAAAAAAAAAAAAAAAAAAAGAAAAAGAAATACCTGAGACTGGGTCATTTATAAAGAAAAGAGGTTTAGGCCAGGTGTGGTGGCTTATGCCTGTAATCCCTGTGCTTTGGGAGGCCAAAGCAGGAGGATCACTTGAGGCCAGGAGTTTGGGACCAGCCTAGGCAACATGGGGAAACCCTATTTTTACTAAAAATACAAAAAATTATCTTGGTGTGGCAGTGCTTGCCACTTGGGAGGCTGAGAAGGGAGGGAGGATCACCTGAGCCCAGGAGGTTGAGGCTGCAGTGAGTTGTCATCGCGCCACTGCACTCCAGCTTGGGTGACAGAGCAAGACTGTCTCAAAAAAAAAAAAAAGGAAAGAAGAAAGACATTGCTCCACTTTTGCTTGCATTATTTCTCTTTTCTTTCCTTTTCTTTTCCAGACAGCGTTTCCATCTGTTGCCCAGGCTGGAGTGCAGTGGCGTGACCTCTGCTTCCCGGGCTCACTGCTTGCATTATTTCTAACAGGAAATCTGCCATCAGATTGTTCCTCCGAATATAATAGGTCTTTTGTATGTGTGTGCCTGCTTTTAAGACTTTCTCTTGAGGCTGGGTGCAGTGGCTCATGCCTGTAATCCCAGCACTTTGGAAGGGTGAGATGGGCAGATCACTTGAGGTCAGGAGTTCGAGACCAGCCTGGCCGACATGAAAAACCCTGTCCCTACTAAAATACAAAAATTAGCTGGGCATGGTGTTGCACGCCTGTAGTTCCAGCTACTTCGGAGGCTGAGGCAGGAGAATCACTCAAACTTAGGAGGCGGAGGTTGCAGTAAGTCGAAATCACACCACAGCACTCCAATCTGGTCAACAGAACAAGAATCCATCTCAAAAAAAAAAAAATCTCTTTATCTCTAGTTTTGAGCAGTTGATAAGTCATGACTTTGTATAGTTTTCTTCATGTTTCTTATGCTTGGGATTCCTGGGATTCCTTGAGGGGATGTAGTGAAGTTACTTGGAAGCAATTTCATCCTCTGGGGTTGTGCTTTTACTACTTGATAGATGGGACCGAGGATCCATTTACTACTGATCCAAATCCTTCAGTGTCTTGTGAACTGTAAGGTTTTCCAGTGTGGATGGTAGGAACAGGCGCTCTTCCTGGCCCTGTGCATGCCAGGTACTCTTCCCTCTAATCCTTTCAGGCGGCTCTCTCCCCAGTTTTGAGTAGTTTCCCCATGTTTACTCATGGATCATACACAATCTGCTAAATTCTCAAGGGGGACGTGATGCAGCTCTCTGGAGTGCTATCTCTGCAGCTCTCCCATCTCTGGTAATCTGTCATGCAAACTCAAGCTGCCATGGTCTCCCGGGACTCTCAGCTCTACCTCCTCAACTCAGAGTCCTCTGCGTACCACCTGGGTCTTCCCTCTCTGCACTGCATCCTCTGTCAAGGCAGCAAGCTTGGGTGAACTCCCCTTGTTTATTTTATTTTTTATTTTTTGAGACAAGGTCTTACTCTGTTGCCCAGGCTGGAGTGCAGTGGCGCAATCTCAGCTCATCACAATCTCTACCTCCCAGGCCCAAGTGATTGTCTTGCCTCAGCTTCCTGAGTAGCTAGGATAACAGGAACACACGACCACCACACAGCTAATTTTTTTTTTTGTATTTTTAGTAGAGACAGGGTTTTACCACATTGGCCAGGCTGGTCTCGAACTCCTGACCTCAAATGATCCACCCACCTCGGCCTCCCAAAGTGCTGGGATTACAGGCATGAGCCACCGTGCCTGGCCCACATGTTAATTTTATTTAGAAAAACCTTTGAACTGGGCCAGGAGCGGTGGCTCATGCCTATAATCCTAGCACTTTGAGAGGGCAAGGTGGGCAGATTACATGCAATCAGGAGTTTGAGACCAGCCTAACCAACGTAGTGAAACCCCATCTCTATTAAAAACACAAAAATTATCAGAGTATGGTGGCAGGTAACTGCAATCCCAGCTACTTGGGAGGCTGAGGCAAGAAGAATCACTTGAACCCAGGAGGCAGAGGTTGCAGTGAGGCAAGATCATGCCACTGCATCCAGCTCAAAGAGCAAGACTCCATCTCAAAACAAACAAACAAAAACTTTGAAGTCATTGTAGTGTTCAGTAAAGTCTGTCTACCTTAAACCTACTAAATGAGCTGTTTAAATTACTGTCTGTTACATAATAGTTTTCCTTTACCAGCCACCTTTCCTTCTGCCCTGTGGACTTCATTCATATGCCTATGGCCACTGAACTTTCAACTTTTCCTGCTATATTGTGAAAAGTAAAACCGTTTTCAGAGGGAAATAGCACCACATCATTGCTGATGGTGAGTCGGTTCTGCTGTGCATTTAGCCCTTGGCTGCTCTGCTATGCAACTTATTTTAAATTGTCTTACAGAGGACAAGGGCGCTCCAGAGGGAACCAAACATTCTTCACTTGGCATCACAATGCATTTTATCATGCATTATTTCTGTTGCTCATCCCCTCACCCAGTCTCACGCCATGCCTTTGCAGGAGCTAAGTCCTTAGTTTTTCTCTAAGTACTAAGAACTGTAGAGTCTATAAAAGATAACAAGCAAGTATAGTATTTTAGTCATGTAGGCAGGACCAAAGCTGTGGCTGCTCTGCTGGGGACATGGTTGGGCCATTGAAGCTTCCAGCAGTTGGTCAGGCAGGCCTGTGGGATCCCAAGTAGGCAGGAGTTCTGGGGATCATAGGGGCCAGAACTGAGGAGTACACAAGTGAAGGGACCAACTCGTATAGGAATTTGGTTGTTTGGTCTGCAGATGGGCTGGAAGTCAATCTCAGGAGATTTCATTAATTATAAAAAAGAAAAATATATAGGACAGGCTTATGAGTATGACTGTGGTCAAAGCTTTATACTAGAGGAAACAAGATGCATGGGAAATGGAAGCCAGGGCATGGGGTAGAGAATAAGGAAGATATTAGATTGGTGCAAAAGTAATTGTGGTGTTGCCATTACTTTTAATTCCAACACCGCAATTACTTTTGCACCAACCTAATAAGAGGAGGAGGGCTAAGATAGGCTAATAAAGAGTGCTGATGAAGTTATCAAGAATTAAGGCTGGTGTAGCAAGGAGCCAAGTGGATAGAAAGGCTAGAGGAGTGGGGCGCGGTGGCTCACACCTGTAATCTTAGCACTTTGGGAGGCCGAGGTAGGCGGATCACAAGGTCAAGAGATCAAGACCACCCTGGCTAACAATGGTGAAACTCCATCTCTACTAAAAATACAAAAATTAGCTGGGCGTGGTGGCGCGCGCCTGTGGTGCAATCTCGGCTTACTGCTCCTGGGTTCAAGCAATTCTCCTGCCTCAGCCTCCCAGCTAATTGCTTGAACCCAGGAGCAGTAAGCCGAGATTGCACCACTGCACTCCAGCCTGGTGCCTGTCGATGGAGTGAGACTCTGTCTCAAAAAAAAAAAAAAAAAGAAAGGCCAGAGGAGTCCAGCAGATCAAGGACAACACTGATTTTAACAAACATGTAGTGAGCCCCTATATGTATGAAGTTTTCATTTCATGTCTTAGTTAGTCCACATCTGTTTGTAAAGTTGGTAACTGATAGCTTGACTTTGCTGCTAAGGAAATCAAGATCTGGGATATTAAGTGGTAGAGCCAGTTGAAACCTAGATGTCGGACTCAACTCCAGTATTCTTCTCAGTACCTGATAAGAGAGCTGAGAAGTCTATGGCTGCATGGAACAACTGTGCCACTATTCCAGAAGCTGACTCAGAGCCTTCCCTGAGTAGACTGTCACTTCACTGGAAACCCAACTGGAATATCATATTTTACTTTCTATGTTGCCCAGGGTAATCTTGAACTCCTGAGCTCAAGTGATCCTCTATCTGCAGCCTCCCAACTAGTTGGGATTATAGACATGAGCCATAACACCCAGCTATTTTACTTTCTTTAAAAATAAAAGTAGGCCAGGCACAGTGGCTCAGGCCTGTAATAATCCCAGCACTT